ATTTAAATTATATCGATAAAAAAAATTAACTATTAACAATTCATTTCCTAAAGATTAGCATGATGATTCACCAGACGTATCGCAACTATAATCTACCCTAACAGATTATTTTAGGAATGTTCATACTAGGGGACTCTAACTAACGAATTAGGAAAGATCGTAAGGATCTCGTACGTTTTTAACAGACGTCTAAAGACTTCAGGGTCGCCGGAGGGCTACACGTGCCGACCATTTCAAGGTGACAACCCTCGACGCCTGAGACTCCAAAGAAATTCCAATCTGTCCCTCTTTCGTTTTTCTAGATAAATCCATAAACTTACCTTTTTTTTTTTTCCTTTTTTGTTTCTTTTGTTTTTTTTTTTTTTTTTTTCCTTTATCGATGTTCCATTTCCCTGCTTCTTTTTTTAATTATAAAAATCACGAGATCCTTATAGAAAGCAAATTTTTAAGATAAGTACGAACATGAGTGACGAGCATTGTATGTTTTTTGTTTGAAATAATATTTGAAATAATTATTTTTGTTCAGACGCGCTCGGGTTTATTCCTATTCAAGGAATAATTCGTGAAAGTTTGTGAATCGTTAACGCATATATTACTGACTAGCCAACAGGATATTAAGATTGAATTCTTTTGGATTTATCCAGTTCGAAACGTTCCGTTGAATCACGCGTGTCGATGAACGCAAAAATAAATCGATCTGGACGAACTTTGCTCCACGTGTATTCTTAAACGAAACCGCTATCTACGTTTACAGTAACTTTCTAAAGTGATCTGTAATCTGATCGAAAACACTTTCTCCTGATTTCAATAATTGTCCGTATTATCGATAATCGACGCGATTATTAACCCGTTAATAAAAATTTAACTCGATATTGGATATAAAGCCGAGAAAAAAAAAAAAGAAAAAAGATATTCGTGCTCGTATTCTCTATAAATGCTTCGCGAATAAAGTGTTAGATAACCGAGATGACATAATTTCAGTATGCATCATCGATATTCTCGTGCCACGAGAGCCCTGTGAACGGCCTGCATGTATGTACGTGTACGTAATGTATGTATGTGTATCAGACCAGTCTGGTGTAACCGAACGAATCGGGTCTTCGTCCTTGTAAGTTCAGACACGTGAACGAATGATTGTAGGACCCACATTCAATTCTTACGGCAGCTTAATGAATGCAACCGTTCTTGGAATTCGAACAGCTCGGCGAAAGAGGCTGAAAATAAATCGCATTTAATTGAAACCTCTCCGTATATACCAATTTATACTTGCGCAAATGGACGAAATGATATCTCGAAAATTGATGCGTTTATGGAAATTGATTGCAACGTGCAATTTGAGTGACTTTTTCTTTTCTTTTTTTTTTTCTTTTTTTCTTTCTTTCTTTCTTCCTTTCTTTCTTTCTTTCTTTCTTTCTTTCTTTCTTTTAATCTCGATGTTTCGCACAATGTACAATGGAATATGCGACACTTTGATTTTTGGGCTGCAAATCAACTCGTAATCGCGCATACGACAAAACTAAAAATACAAGAAATGCGCAGTGTAGACTAAAAAATAATCGTAATTGTGAAACGTAGTTGCATGTATCAGATGACTGATACGTCAGAGAAGTAAGAGGCACGAAACGTATCGACTTGCAATTTAATAGAAGATGCCGTTGGCGAGATGAATGCAAATTCATGGCGATTCCAGACTAGATACTAGACTACATGTTTCTCTCTTCGATATTTTTATGCAAAGATAATTAGAATTTTCCCGATTCGATCAGATCACGTGAAAATGCGACGTATTACATAGTGGAGAGAAGGTCACTCGTTTGCTAACTCATGAAAGATCAGGAATTCGAGTCAGGCACGTGGAAATACAGCTAGAGTATCTCGACGCATACATGCATATAATCGCATTATTATGATGGATAATTCGTGTAATCACGAAATAAAATATAATTAAAAATGGATCGAGACTGGATTTTTAAATTCGCGATAAAGTTTCGAATTTGAAATTTTGCGAGATCGAATACTTTGTTCAGATTCAATCCCACTCGAAATAATTTTTTTCTTTTTTTTCGAAAGAAAATTTTTTGAAAATTCATAGTTAGATAATTCAATTTATAATTAACGAATTTAATTCATCACCAGCTTCAAATCATCCGGATCATCGGTAATTATCTCTTTATCGGATCTATGCGTGGGTATATATAATATCGTTCCTTTCAACGAACGTTTCTCTCTTTTTCATCCACGATCTGAATTTTATCTAATCGACTTCAATGTTTATTATTTCACATCGAAACTTAATGTATTTTTGTACAGATTACTACTAATAACGTCAAACGTTCAAAATGATTTCGCTATCTTTGACATGACATTCGAAATTGATTAATTAATGAGAAAGAGAATATTTCGCGTGGAATAGAATGTAAAGACATTGTCTATCGTGTAAAGAACAATTTTTTGTTGATTCAGATTAATTTGCTCGATAACATCAGAATGATAATCTTACGCTCAAACGCGTATATATAATACATATATAATTTAATAAGTATTTTATTATGAGATTAATTTCTTTTTTATATGAAAAAAAAAAAAAGATTTTCAAATGCATAATTTTATTGTTATAATAATATGTGATTTTTATCGCTTATTTAACATATTCTTCTTGTTACGATAAGTTCGACGAACCGTTGCCAGTTTCCTATTCTATTTCATTGTCATAGTGCACGTGCATCGAAATAAATCTTATCTTTTGTATCATATCTTGTTTAACATTTTCACTTTCGTATTTTTATTATAAACGTTGCAACAAATTTAATTATAATAAAAGTTTAAAGTTTCAGAGAAATTAATTTTACAACAAACATTTTATTGTTTTCTTTATTTTTCTTTTTCTTGTATCTTATGTGATTTTCAAGAAAAAAAAAAAAAAAGATACAATGCACATGATGTGTATTAATATCTAGAAGAAGGACATACACGATTCATTCAAATGCTAATCAATGTTTCAATACTGGAATGGATGCATTTCTATGAACTGCAATAGTATACCTTTTTATCTACCAAAGTCCATCGTCTATTTATCTTTGACATTTGTATTTAACTCGTTACTTTGCATGAGCATTGCACATGCATTAATATTTCATTACTAATAAATGAGAAAGAAAAAATTTGTAAAACATTTTATCGATTATAAATTATTGAGCTATAAAAAAAAGAAAATTAAGATACAAGATAATGATATTCAAATTTGATAATTGATCGATGTAAAAAAAAGATAATACGCTAATTTAAATATAGGTAGCTGATAGAATATACAGATATCAATTATAAATATTAATTATACAAGCCGATGAAAGGAAGCAAAAACTTAATGATATTCTTTATTAATCATCCTTGTCTTCCTATATTCTTCCGTATTTCATTGTCAGCAATTATCAAAGACACGAACAAATTAATATCCATGTTCAATTATGAGCATCATTTTTTATATTCATGATATAACTGAAAATTAAATATTTTAAATAAATTTAAAAATTAATTTGTTTTTTCAATAAAGATTTTATCAAGAATTTTAAAAAATTTTCCTCATTATTATAAATATGTCAAAAAAATATTTTATATACATATTAATAACAAAAATGTAGAACATGCGAGAAACAATCCACGTGTTCTTTCATGCGAAAGACTATCGACACCAAATTATATAATCAATCATTATCGATCGTGATAGTCTACAGATTATTCATACAGAAGTATTTAACAAGTATCGATTTGTCTTGTTTGCATTCTTAACAATAGTTAACACTCGAATTTGTCTGTCGAAGCTGCCGTCCTGTTTCGCATTAACGTTTTCGTGTATTCTTTTAAATTACGTTTTCATCCTGTGGTTCTTAGTGAATTCTTTTTATAAATATATTTTATATATATATATATATATACATTATTTATTATATGTGTATACATTAAAATTTTTGAAATTTATTTATCGATAATTATTCTTGCAAACACGTTTTTAAGTACAAACAAGAATTCATTTTCAAGATCAATTTCCAAGAATATTTCTAAATGGACACACACTCTATCTTTGAAAGGATGCCATATAAAGTATGTAAATGTTTTGACATGTGCAATCAAATCAGATTCGATAAACTCATTGAATAGAATCATTGTATGTGCAAGCAAATGATTTTGAAAAAAAACCAAAAGGAATCAAAATCTGAACTGTGATATTAAGATTAATCAAAAAAATATTCTCTTAAGAAAGAAATATGATGTTAATGTGTTGAAAAGTTAAGATTTGTTAAGATTTCATGTTAAGATTTCATTAATTCATTTGAAATTGTTTATATGAATAAAAAAATTTGACATAAAATTTTAATTTTTGTCAATCATTCTAAAAAATGATTATTGTTATTATTAATTATGAATTTAAATTTTAAAAATTTTAAAAATCAAAAATTAAGATTATCATATTTCAATTTTTGAGAATATGGATATTTTTTTAAAAAAAAAGAAGATAATGAAAAAAATAAGCTTGGATTTTGAAAATTTCAAATTTCAAGAATTTCGAGATCTTGCAAAGTTTCGGATTCAAATCTCAAGTCCCTAGAAGTTAAATTTCAACCTATCTCTAAAAAGAATATATCGATCCTATAAATCGTGTGTATAAGTATCGATTTCGCGATAGAGAAAATTCGAACACAGTATGCATGTACTATGGAAAAAATTTATGTGCCGTATACATACCCATATCGATGTTCTCATCTGTCTGTGGAAATGTAAATTTTATACTTTTTTAGTATAAGACGAACACGAAGAATCATGTGGCTACCTTTGTACATACTGTCGGTCAACACCTCGTCACATATATACATATATGTACATATATACACATCCCACGTGTTTGTTTCTATTGGTGGAGAAGTTAGCCACTGACCGTTGGTGTAGTACACAGCATTCAGTAGTATATAAGGGCGACTCTTTCGTACGGGCACGCATAACCGAGAGGGAGTCATTCCATGACACGCGTTGCACGCGACCTCTTCCTCTTCTTTTGCCGTCCTTTTGCGGCATTGTTTCCACCGTGACAATTGCTACTTTACTTTTAATTTGATTCAGTGAACCATAGAAAATAACTCAATTTTTTTTTTGTGTTTCTCTTTCTTTTCTCTTTCTCTCTCTCCCCTTCTCTCTCTCTCTCTCTTTCGGTTTTTCTTTCTTTCTAAGGTCATCTTTTAATTTTCCGCGTTTTTCATCACACGAATGCGTTACATATCTATTTTGTCAATAGTTTGCTTTTGTATTTGAGGTGCTTTGTACTCTTTTATCAGAAAAATTGATTGATAGTAACATAGTGCATAGTAACATAGTGAAGAAAAAAGACTATAAGGAGAAAACGATTTGTGAAATGAGAACACCTTTTGTAAATTTTCATTCTCCGACAAAAGTGAACATTTTGAGAAGAAACATTTGAAATACATCATGCAGTTATAATTCTTATGAGATAAAAAATTATAATAAATACTTAACATATGAAACATGCAAGAAGCGAGAAGATATTGAAGAGAACATTGGCATACCGAACAGAACAAATTCAGAATGTCTTCTTCAACAATCATTATGGGAGTATCGTGGCTCACGATGATCTTGTCGATATGTTTGATGACAATAGTTGTATTGTTATTAGTGCGACGAGGAAAATTTTTATACGCTTTGAGAAAAGTGCCTTATCCTCCTGCTTTTCCCATCATTGGAAACGCGTACGAATTATGTTGCAGTCCGGAAGGTAAGTGAAATATTTTCTAAAAAAAAAATAAAAGAAAAAAAGAATATTTATCTAAAGCTAAACAAAAAATTAAATTTTAAGCAGAGAATGTTTAAAAATATTTAATCAAATAATTTGTAATAATTCGACACGTGCCGGTTCTTAACCTATTGCTATGTAAGATCGAATCATATATACAGATTATAGTTCGATTATGACAAATATGAATGTGATATACACTGGTTATAAAAATTATTTATACATAACCTTAATTTTTTTCAATAAAACATTTTTTTATCAGATATTTTAATATCACATTATTTTAGTCACATACTACAAAATGATACAAAATTTAATTTAATGTTTTATAGTTATATTTAATTAATTATTTAAATATTATAATAAAAATAATAATGCATTAATATTTTTTATAATCACTGTATATTATTTAAAATAATTTTTATAATTGATCATTATTAAAAATGAATTATAATTTATATGATATGAATTATAATCAAGAAATAAAATATTTTGAGAAAAATTTATAAAATAATCTCATTTTAGTGAAAAAAATTGTGAAACCACGAATTAAATGCATTAATGTAAATTAACGCGAGATTTTATAAAATTTGATAGCTGATAAATGAACTAGTTGCTTGAATTAGCATATTATGTTATGTTTAAATTTAAAAAAAAAAGCGATTATGAGTACGAGTTCAATGATGTTTCATTTTTCTTAAAAAGAAAAAATTAAATCATGAATCGTTATATAAATGAATAGTTATAAAAAAAGAAAAAGAAGATTAACGTGTTGTCAACATACATAAAGTAATGAATATTTTTGATATGCGAGCGCCATTATAATTAATTTTTTTAAATAATAATTAATTATTATAATTATTATAATAATATTTAATAAATATTTAAAATTTATAGTATAGATTTATAGATATTTAGTATAGATTTAATAAGATTTAGTTAGATAAATATCTTAAGAACAATAATTTTTTTCAAGCAAATTATTTATTTTCATGTTTATTATTATTATTCTTTATGTTTCTTATTTACTTTTATTTTATAAAATTGATAAATTTTAAAATAATTTTAAAATAATAATTAAATATTAATAATGTTTAATTAAGAATATTAAAAATAATATAAAATAAATTAAATATCTAGATTTATTTTAAATATTTAAAAATTTGTCATAAAAAAAAAATAATTTCAATTTTATTGAATATAATTAAATTTTATTTTATCTTGTTTAATAATTAATAACTTTAATATTTTTTTTGTCAAATCAATCGATTTGTTACTATTAAATATTTAAAAAAAAATGAATAATATGAAATATCGTAGATAGTCGTCAGACACGATGAAATGTATGTAATTCTGGTATTCGCGTACTTTTATTTCCAAATTGGCACAAGATAACGATAACCTCGATATCAAAGAAATTCGCGAGATCGAGCATGCAAGCAGATGCATTGATATTGTGAACAGAAATACATATTGATCGCTCGAGATCGGTATTTTGCGATGTAAGTTCAAGCAAATAAATGATCCTTAACATGTGTGGTTTCTCAAAATCTTTCACTGTTACTTCTTTTTATGTAACGATTTTTAGCATTTATTTTTATTTTTATATATATTTTTATTATATGATAAAATTCGAATTGCGTATTAATTTTTTAAATTTTCCTTATCTTGTATGTGAAGAGAAGAAGGGGACACAAATTATTTGAATATTAAAAAGATCGAAATGTAAAAAAAATAAATACTAATAAATTATGTCAATGAAAAGTAGATCACGTGATTTTTTTTTAGTCGTGTATTTGATATCATTTATAAATACTTTTTAACAATTAAATAAAATTAATTAAACCCTATTACAAAAAAATGTCATCAATCAAAACTTGTAGAACATTATCTTCGAATAATAACATTTATTTTCATATATATATATACGATATCTGAAATTATATTGCAAATACATACATATGATTTGTAGTAACAAAATGAAGATTTTTTCGCAAATGTTTATGCGATGCGTGTTCTTTAATTATATATATATATTTTTAAAAGAAACGTGTATTGGAAGAGAACGAAGAGTTCATAAAAAACCAAAGTTTCACTCGATCTTGCGCATTGGTTATCGCAACACAAATGAGTATCGAGTAATAATTCATTTTCAAAGTAAATCGAAAGTCATGTCAATCATCGATGATAAATTTTCGATATTTGGGAAATTACGTTTAATTTGGTATGCTCTGGATATGAAAAATGAACGTATGAGTGTACTCGTGAAGTGAAATTGCGGAGGAAAGGAAAAGAGAAAAAAGAAAGGAGGATTTATCCACCTCAGCCCCACTGAATGCTACATAGATAATGATTGGCGTGTCGTGAGTAACCAGACGAAGAAAGAAACGGGTCGAGGTCGTTCGTGCTCTGAATAAAGCTGTAGTAATTGTATGCAATTACACGTGGCTTAAGAAAAAAAAAATAAAATTATCAGCGATACTGATGATTTAAAAAAAAAAGCTTTTAATATGAATTGGCCTTGATTCGAAGTTACAAGTTGTACACAAACTTCTATAGTTTTCATTTGTAAATCTAATTATGCAATTGCAAATGAATGCTCGATGTGATTTGACTACATCGGTGGATCGTAAATGATAACAATAACGTAAAAAATATTGATATGAACGGTTGAAATTTGATTTTCGAAAAAATTAAGTTCGAAAATTCATTTACGTATATTAAAGAAATATAGAAAAAAATATAGAAAAATAGTAGAACTCTACAATTTCATTTCTATCTATCGTGTTATGAAATGATATTATTTTAAATAATATTTCAAGTTATCTAACATACACAATTATTTTAAATAATTTGATATAAATTATTTGATATCTATTATATATATATATATATACATTATATATATATACATATACAGTTGAAAATATTATCTCAAATATGCTTATTTATGCAATATTTATTGGATTTAAGAAATCATAAAACAGATAATTTATTTACAATAATTGATTGCATCAATTACATTATTCAAATGATTATTCAAATGAAATATTTGAAATGAATAATTAATAAATATGATATTTTATAATAATTAATAGTTACATCTATATATAACAAGTTATATTTCTACTATAAATTGTAGCTTTAATATGACAAAGATGAATGAAAATGAATTTTAAAACCTTAATTTATTTGCATAAGAAAATATTATTCTAATGGATGTTAAGTATTCTAATGGATTAATGGATGTCTATTTGCATCGGTGTAACATTATAACAAAAAGTTGCTTCCTATTCAATAAATATTGAATCTTATAATGAGTAACTTGGAAAACAAATGAAAATAAACAATGGCCACTTTATCATACTAAAATCAAAATAAAATCAAAAGTAAATCGAAGACGTACTATTATACGAAGGATATCTAGCTTCACGTTGCACTTCAAGGTCTACGAGAGAGCATGTCTTCTGTTCTTTTTGTTCCGAGTCATTATTACTCGATGACCTCGTGTTGCATTTTTACCGGTCAATGTCCGGTCAGTGTACAGCCACTCCTCTTTTATTAGAATTGCAACACGAGTCATCCTCGTTCGCTCTTGTTTCGCTCTACGTTCCTTTCTCTCTCTCTCTCTCTCTCTCTCTCTCTCTCTCTCTCTCTCTCTCTCTCTCTCTCTCTCTTTCTTTCTTTCTTTCTTTCTTTCTTTCTTTCTTTCTTTCTTTCTTTCTTTCTTTCTTTCTTTCTTTCTCTCTTGTCATTACATCAATGCTCGTCTTCCCTTTCTTGACAAATAATTCGCGTCACGAGGCTGAAACAAGCATAGAGATACGACAATAACTTGATTGGCTACGACGATAACTGTAAAAGGTCTATTTCTGTATATTGATGCCTTGGGTCAATGGCCGCCGGAAATCATATGGAAATATCGGCAATCTTACCGCATTGCAAAAATTCAGCGTTTCGTTGATTTCCATCTTCGTTTCAAATAAGAATATCTCGGAATATATACATTTTGAAATTCTCGTAAATTATTTCTTTGTTCTATTAATCCCTTCGATCGATTACAGTTAATATCGATTACAGTTTTCATACAGTTTTTCCTTGCTGAGAAATGAATGATTTTTCGAATTTTTCATCGATATTATTATATCATATTTATTATTACATTTTTTCATTTTTATTCAATTAACAACTACAAAATATTAATATTAAATAATACTCAGCAAAAATTATTTCAAAGAAATCGAAGAATCCGTTTTTAAAATCGTATCATTTGATGATAGAAAGTAAAAAGATTTTTATATGATATCGATTTGATAAAAATAAATGTGCTAAAATTACTTTTTCACCCGAAAAAGATATTCTAATATTTCGAGTCATTTCGATCAATCTTACGAATAATTCTTAAATAAATGGTCAAATAAAATGAAAGAAAGCTGCAAAAATTTATATGTAATTTAAGAGTGAAAATATATCAGATATATCGCACGTTTAGTTATATCAGATCGAAATTCTGTAACGATAAGCAATTCTAGATAAAATGTTTGTACTTACATGTGACTTAATCTGATCGAAGATACTGTTCGAGAGTATCAATTTAATCAGTAGGAGCAATTGTGACAATATCTTGAAAAAAAAAAACTCGATTCGCATAAATTGTACGAGATATACGTACAGGTAAGAGGTCGATGACCGCAAAAGTTAAACCAAAAAAAATGTATATGTTACAGAAGCCTTCAAAAAAATAATCAAATGGGGAAGAGAATTAGGGGACATGTACCTGATCTGGGTAGGGATGCGACCTTTTATCTTTCTCTATAAAGCAGAAGCAATACAACCATTGTTGAGCAGTAGTGTTCACATTGACAAAAGTTTGGAGTACCAATATTTACAGCCTTGGCTTGGTTCCGGTTTGGTAACTAGTACCGGTAAGTAAATAGTATTGATACATTCCTTGTTAATTTTTACACCATCTTTTATACTCTTTCGTACAATTTAAATTTCTTCTTTTTATTTATTTATGTCTATGTCACGAAGAAGACAATATAGTAATAATGAAAATTCGTGACATATTTTGTAAAACATTTCAACGATGAATATTCAAAAGGTTAACAATGCTATAAAAATGATGTAAAAAAATAGTAATAAAAAATTTACCTGTTACAAAATTCGAAATCCCATAAGCTTCAATTTTTTTAAATGGGATATCCTGACCGTTTTATACAAAAATTCTTATAACAACACGTTGTACGTGCTCGAGGGCATACTATCAGGTTTCCATGAATCAGAGAATGTAAAAAAGGAACAATTTGTTCGAGGATGAACAAATTCAAAAAAACGCAAAAAAAAAAAAATCTATAAGTAGATCGAACCGATTCGATCTACTTATCTGGCCGGTTTAGAAGCTACATTTAACCATGATTTATTGGGATCTTTTTTTGGTTTAAAATTTCAGCAAATTACCAACCAGACAACTGGTAGCAAAAATTTATGATTATTGAACTCGAATCGGATATTCTCTTAATAACTATCATCAAAAAAATTTTTTTACATATCCCCCTAGTAAAATGTTCCTTGCCAATTTTTTAATCAACGCTCATAGCGAAATTTTTCTTTCCAGCGAAAAGTTAAATTTTAATAATAGGATTTGTTTTTATATTTTATAAATTTATGAAAAATAATAAAAATCTAGTAAAAAAAAATTATAACATGTCATTTCAGAAATAGAAAATAAAAAGTCGGTAAATATAATAAATTGTTATTCTAGGGGAAAAATGGCACTTTCACCGGAAATTGCTAACGCCAACTTTTCACAGTGGTCTTTTGGAATTGTATTTAAAGACGACAATTAAAGAGGCTCAAATATTAATTTCATGCCTCAGAAACGAAATTGGCAAACCAGAATTCGATATTGTTCCTTATGCTAAACGAGCGACATTGGACATAATATGCGGTAAGACGATTTAATATCGCATAATATTCCTTTTAGCAATATATTTATCGCCTTCGTTACGAGAAATAATCTACGTTACCTAATAAATTACTTATTTTCAATCTATTTTTATTGTTATCTTTTTCAACAAATTTTGTTCATTTTAAAATACGTTCAGATTTATTTATAAATAGATTTATTTATATAATAAGTCAAAAGAAAGAATATATTGTTAAAATTAATAGATATAAAGTAAATAAAAATTTTTTAACAAAAAAGCAATGTAAGATCAAATAATATTCGAATAATAATTTTCGAATATAATAAATTTTTGTTATTTAATTATATTCACACTCCATAATACATCTTATGTGATGACAGTCATATCTCTTTAAAATTCTAAACGATTCTAAATTCTAAAAACAATACGCATTTTATTCTCCACAATTATCGACGAATTTTCTTGTCATTTTTCAAATTTAAGCCAACCATAATAATAGTTCTGTCGGAATTTGATAGTTTCACTTTTTTTTTTACTTTTTGTTTTCGATCATTCTTGTAGCGATTGAATCCATTATGTTTATAATCCCTGTTTTTGTAATCCTTCTTTTTACCGCGTTTCCCATAACTTCTAAAATAAAATTATATATTTATTTTACTTATTTTTTTTTTTTTATTTACACACGCGTACGTATATCAAAAGTAGAGAATTTTAGTTTTGTTATTACCGTGACTTTTCTTTATGCAATTTTGATTTTCTTTTATTATGATTAATTTTTGTTATTTTTAATCTCCGTTTTCTTTTCGGCTTCGATAATTCAATTATACGTTGAGTGGCTGGAAAATAATTCTAATTACCAATTATTTCTAATTTCTAATTTTTTTTTTTTTTTTATTTAAAAAAGAATGAATTTCATAAATTTCCTTTCATATAAATTGTAAAGAATACTTTAATAAATTTCTCTATTAATTTATTAATAAATAAAAATCATTCCAAGATATCATTTATATATGATATCTCCCGTTATTAGTTTATAAAAAGACATAACAATCACCATAAATAAAAATTCATGAAAAATCATTCCAATATTAGGATACGTAAAAAAAAAAAAAAAAAAAAAAAAAATACGAACCGACTGCCGTAAGAGCACTGGGTGCTACGTATCCAACTGGTTTAGAGGGATATTGATACGGAATTCGTGGCTTTGAAAGTTCAATTATTCGTGGCGATGCTTTTGGGATCTGCGATAGATTTGATCGTACTTGAAATTGCTTCTCATCGATTCGCTGCCGTGGTTGGGCTAATTGATTAGTGCGTTCGGTTATTTCATAAAGGAGAGCCGATGCTTTCACCTATTACAGGTAAAGTACAATTCCGTTTCACACGCGATGTGACAATAAAGTTTCGAAAATAATTCGTTTAACCCTCGCAATCCGATGGCTGAGTTACTTTTTGATCCAGTCGACAATGATGCTAATTTGATTGGTTAATTAAATAAGTTTAATTAGATGTAATATTATTTTAAATTTAGTATTAATTTTTTTTTTTTCAAAATTAAGTAAGTTTGGATTTATGATCTGGAACGTGTATACCCAGGCTCGTACTTCGAGGGTTAAAGTACGTAGTATATGTACGTAGCATCGAGATCCATCGTTTATAACATATCTAATAACTCACTTTCTGGTATCTGCATGTGGATACTTATGTTTCTCAAGTTCACGTGTACACTGCGGGGTTAAGTTATATATTTTTCAATGTGCGTGTCATTTCGAACGAAAGTCATACACTTACGTGGCTAGATTCTAAAATAATTTCGTTGTAGGTCTTGGTCTTCAATTTTGTAATTTTCGAAGCGATGTTTCGTTTCGCAGACTGTTTAAGGGATTTATCTGCATTCGCATAATCAGATACTGGAGTTAATATGTTATTGTTACGGTTTTCTTGCGATTTTGTGAACTTGCTCACGAACATCTTGCCAAAGCAATTAAACGATTCGTCTGATCCCCAGTGTCGAGTAGTGAGTAACGTAGCCATTTTTCTTGATAATATATATACGTCACTTAATAAATTTTCTACATTATTGGAAAAGTCAACTTTGTCTTTTTTTTTTAATTTATCGATTTTTCATTCCGTGTGACATATTGTGTACACGGGATTTTCTGTTGAACAACGAAGGATCAAATATTTCCATTGCCTTCTTGAATTATAAATTTAAATTTTGAGAACGCATAATACAAGTCTTAAATACACCTGCGAATTTTTGAAATAATAAAAATGGTTTATGATTACTTGCCATCAAACATGAAAATCTTGTCATTTTAACATGAAAATATTTGCGAGATTAAATGTTTCATCGATATCGAGTTTTTTTATTTATATTTAAGAAAAATTAATAATCTTTGTTTTTTAATGTTACAGATAGTTCCATGGGATATAATATTAACGCGCAAAAAAATTTTAAAAACGAATATGTGCAAGCTGTGAACACGTAAGCATATTTTCTATTAAAATTATTTATATTAAAAGAAGATATATTATAATATATATAAGTATATTTGTTTTAGATTAGCTTCTATTTCGCAAAGAAGATTTCTAAACGTGTGGATGTCCTTCGATCCAATTTTTAAGTTAACATCGTGGGGGAAACAACATGATCATGCACTTAGTGTTACTCATAGATTTGTCAATAAAGTAAATATAATTTTTTTATTCAAAACAATTATAATAATTTTTGCTTCGTTTAAATATAAATATAAAATATAAAAGTAACTTTTTAATTAATATAAAAATTCGAGATATTTAATATTATAAAGAATTAAAATTAATATTATTTTATATATTAAAATTAATATAATTTTTGATTATAGATAATCGCGGAAAGAAAAGCCGAGTGGAAAGATAGAAAAGATACAAATTTTAATGAAAAATCTCATAAACGTCAAGCTTTATTGGACTTATTATTAGAATTATCAAAAGATGGTAAAGTTCTCACCGATGATGATATTCGCGATGAAGTGAACACATTCATGTTCGCTGGACACGATACTACTGCGACTAGCGTATCATGGATTTTGTATGCATTGGGAAGACATCCTCAATATCAAGTATAGAAATTCTATATAATATAATTATATTACAATATATTATAGTTTTTATAGTTTGTAACAAATCATTATCTTACAATTTTTATTATTTCTCATTTTAGGAATTAATCATTGAAGAATATTATGAAACAGTAGGGACGAAAGAATTAACTTTAGATATATTAAGTAAATTAACATGGCTAGAAGCGTGCATAAAAGAATCATGGAGACTTTATCCAGTAACACCACTCATCGCAAGACAAATCTATCATCCTATTACTATCTGTAAATATTATTTGTTTAAAAATATAAGAGTTTAAGATCTTTTCAATTTGAAATTCTTATTTTCACAGAATAGGATATTTTTTAAATAAATTAATTCGTTTTTAGTGGGACATGAAATTCCAATAGGATCGACGGTTCTCGTTAATTCATTCCTTCTTCACCGAGATTCTCGATATTTTCCAGAACCAGATATTTATCGACCAGAACGATTTCTTCCTAATGGACCAAAATATCCTTCTTACGCTTTTGTTCCTTTTAGTGCTGGTTCCCGTAATTGTATCGGATGGAAATACGCTACAATGATCGTTAAAGTTCTTATTTTGTATATATTGAAAAACTTCCATGTTGAATCTTTAGATACTGAAGATCAACTTCGTTTTGTTTCTGAATTAGTATTACACAATGCTGATGGGCTTAGATTAAAAATTACACCACGAAAATAAGCATTTTTTGCTTGATTTTATTGTAACAATTTAAAATCAAATGAAATAATGAAAATCAAAGATATCTTTTTTGATAATAAAAAAAAGTTAATTTTTTTTTTTGCACATTCAAATCGGATATTTTTTTTTTGAATTAATCATAACAATTCTATTCAAACTGAAATAAATATTAGAAAAAATTAAATTAATGAAATTTATAATGATTAATAAGAAATTTATATTTCATTTTTGTGTCTTTATACATATACATGATTAAACTTAAAATTACTATATGTAGAACAATTTGTGTTTTATTATGAAGGTTTAGGAATATAATTTTTATATTTTTTCTGTACAATTACTTTATGTCTTTCAAATGTTCTTTCAAAAGCTTTTAAAATTGTTATATTTGTAATTCTTACTATCTCATTTTTATTATCAATGATTTTTGTTAATAACTAGGTTTCTTAAGACAATTATAACAATTTTAAAATTTCAAAACATTGATGAAATTATTATTAATTATATTTTTTTAATACTTTTTAATACTTTTCTATAATCATAAAAAAAATAGAAAATGTTACATTATATAATAACTAAAAAATAATTCTTTATTACATGAGAAAGTGATATTAAATTTCTCGTATATATTTTTATTAGATTATTGTAAAATTTCATTATTAAGTACTTTACATATATAATGTGAAGGAATAAAAGTATAATTGTTATATTGTGATATTTTATAATATCTTTAGTTTTTAAGATGTATAAATATGATAAGATGTTATACAAATAATATTTTTAAGCTTTTATCTATTTGTATTTAACAAATAAAGCATTACATTTTATTACAAAAAACTTTTAAAATAAATTTTAATAAATACAATCATATTTATATGTATGTATGCATCAGAATATGTGTGATTTATTTAATATTATTATTATAAAAATGTATAAATATCTCGAAAAATATAAATGATAAATGTTGAAACAAAAGTTATAATTTTAAAGTGATATAATTAAAATAACATGATTAAATTTTTTAGAAACCTATGATTATATATTTAATATGTATTTAATTTCGAACATTAATAAAATTATTAAATTAAATAGATAAATAAAACAAAAATAAAAATTATATGTGTTTGAATGATATTTCACATTTTATTTATAATTGTATGTCAAAAATGTATAGACAAAGAAAACAAATAGCAAAAGGATAGAAAAACGATAATAATAAAATCACTAGACTCAAATGAAACATATAAAGAAAAAACAGAAAATAGAAAAAAAATAGAAGTAGAATAAGAAATGATTATCAACGCTATCTCTTGAGTATTGAAACAGTCGAAACAGGATAAAATAAGAATTAAGAATTAATGTCATCTTTTGAGTGTTTTTAGAAGTATAATATTTTGAAATAATATTTTTGACATTTGATGATATGTAAGAGAAAGACTAACAAGTTTCTGAAATCAGCGCCATCTCGTGTTTGGATTCTCGAAACTCTGATTTGTTATTAATATAACAGAATATGCGAGAAGGTATATATTATAGGCAAGAAAAACAACACTATGCAAAAAGAATAGAGACATTCTCTATTTTGAGACGCCATATGGAAAATTTATTAATTACGTTTTATATTAAAAATTTCAGCATTTTTAAATTCACATCTTGAAGCAAAAATTTCAGATATTAATTTTAATATTAAATTCTTTTTTATATATTATTTATTAACGATTATCATAAATATATCTTAGTTAAATTTGCATTTTTTAATCCAATATAAAATCAATTTATTTATTTAAATTACAATAAAATTATAAATAAAATTCATATGTGAAAGTAGAGAAAGAAATAACATTTTAAATGAATATAATCATATTTAGAAATAAATCTTATAATAATGAAACATTAATGAAAAATCTATTGTGTATTATTGATATTAATTAGATATGACGAATTACTAAATAATTAATTAAGAAGAGTTTTACGTTAAATTTGATATGAGAAATTTGTTTCAACTTAGTTTCAAAATGCGAATTTAAAAATATTGAAATTTAAAAAAAAACGAATAATTAATAAATTTTCAATATAGTATTTTCGATACATTAAAAGGTATGATGCGTTAATCGTTAATAAATAATTAATGATAAACAATTTATATATTAAAATTAATATGAAAATTTTATTTAGAGATTTAATTTTAAAATACGAGATTGAAAATACCGAAATTTTTAATAGAAAACGAGTAATTAATGAATTTTCAATATAGCGTCTTTGAAATATTGAAAAATATGATGCATTAATCGTTAAAAAAATAATTAATAAAAACAAATTTTATATTAAAATTGATACGAGAAACTTATCTAAAGTTCTAGCTTCAAGATGCGAGTTCAAAACTACTGAAATTTTGAATAAAAAACGAATAATTAATGAATATTCAATATTATATCTTTAAAATGGCGAAAGATAATCTCTGTTCTTGTTGCACAATATTGCTTTCTTTGTCTCTGACTTCAAATACCTCCTTGCACATTTTGTTATGCTAATAATAAATTAGAGCTTCGAATGTTCAAACGCGAGATGGCGCGAAATGGCGAGATAGATTAATTTAAAAAAAATTTTAATTTGCTATTTCATTTATTGGCAAAATATATTTTATCAACAATTAGAATAGAATTAAAAAAAAACAAACGAATTAGATTAATTATAATTTAAAAATCAAAATATAAAAATGTTAAAATTAAACAAAAATGTATGAGTAATATAGAAGCGAATAATAAAAAAGAACATTTGTTTATATATGTGTAAATATTTTTATAATTGCGATTTTTAGAAAATTTTTAGAAATTTCTGTATATATAAAATATATAGTATAATTCTTACAACATACAGAATATCAATACATGTTGAAATATTTATCTAAATTTCTAATTAGTAAAACAAACAAAATTTTATCTTTACAGTATTCGAAAAATGGCACTAATTCTACAATTTTTAATCTATCTTTATTTTTTTCTTATTTTGCTTTCCTTATTTATTTTTGTTCTTTAAAATTTATATGCCCAAGAAATATTTGATGAAATATATCAATAAAATTTTTAAATTTTATGAATAATATTATCTCAATAGTCTTTTTTTATTAAAATTTTTATTTATATTGATATTTCATTCTCTTATATCTAAAAAAAAAAAAGAATATTTTATTTTAATGATTAAAATACTATATGAAATATTTTATTATTCATTACTTTATTACTAATTACTTTATAATGTATTTAAAATAAATATTTAATAATTAAATAAATATTTAAATAAATTGTTATTTAAACATAATTTAATCTTAATATAAAATATAAATTATATTTTCTGTTTTTAATTTTGTTTCTTTATACATGATTTTTTTATACATTCTTATACATATTATTCTTTTGTAAATACTTATGTAAGATTTATGTAAGTACATATCTTAAACAAGATATAGCATAAATTAGTATAGAATGAATATATATACTCTTATGTATACTCACTGAATTCTTTATTTTGTAGTACATATATCCATATATAGAAGGAATTATGTGGTATTTAAATGAGACATTAAATAATTATGTATATATTATGTAATCGTGACTTTGTGATAATTCATCCATTTATTAGTAAATTTCGCATAATTTTGAAATAGAATAAATAGGCGACGAAATTCGATACTATTAATCATTTTAGGTTATATTTTGTAATATTTGTTAATTAAAATATGCGCGCAACCATTGCAATATTGTGTGTTTTTCTTGGTTGTTGCAGTAATGTTGTTTTCTTGGAACTTCTTGTTAAGTCAGTATTACATTTTATTTTTTATGCATTATTTTTTTATATCATATATTTTTATTTTTAGATATTATTATATATTATAAATATATAACTATTAACAGTAATAATATAATAATTTACATTTTTCAAATAATATAATTTTGAAATATGATATTGAAATCATTATTCATTAATAATGTATTCATCATTATATATAATAATAATAATAATATTATTTTTTCAGAGATGATCCAGGTAGTGGAAATCTTATTACATTTTCACAGTTCCTTTTTATATCTATAGAAGGGTTTTTATTCACTTCAAAATGTGGAACAATAAAGCCCAATATAGGAATAAAAGATTATTTTATATTAGTCACAATGTTTTTTGTTGCAAATGTTTGCAATAATTATGCATTTGATTTTAATATACCTATGCCGTTACATATGATATTCAGAGCTGTAAGTATTATATTTATATTTAAATATAAAATATCAATATCCAAATTTTTTAATAGATACAAAATCATGTTTAATAATTTATGTTTAATAATTTTAGGGTTCTCTGATAGCTAATATGATTATGGGTATTATTATTTTAAAAAAAAAATATATCTTTAGTAAATATTTATCTGTATTTATGATAACTCTTGGAATTGCAATTTGTACTATTGTTAGTGGCAAAGAAATTAAATCTTTACAACCTAAAAATATTGAGCAAATACCAACTACACCATGGGATGATTTTTTCTGGTGGATATTAGGAATATCATTATTAACTATTGCATTATTTGTATCTGCAAGAATGGGAATTTATCAAGAAGTATTACATAAAAAATATGGAAAAAATGCGAGAGAAGCATTATATTACACAGTAAAATTTAATTTTTTAAATTATTAAAATTTCAAAATATCAAATTCTTTTCACTTAATTAGAATATGTGTATAAAATTAAATATTTACTTTCAGCATTTATTACCTTTACCATTTTTTTTAACATTAACTTCTAATATTTGGGATCATCTTATATATGCCTTAGCATCAGATCCAATAAAAATATCAATTATTAATATTCAAGTGCCAAAATTAATTGTATATCTTATAGGAAATATTTTGACACAGTATCCTTTTATTAATATATAAATTATATAAAATGTATTAAAATTATTAAGTATTATTAATTAAAATACATAATCAAATTTTAATAACATATTTATAATTATAATCCTTAATAATAATTTTAGATATATGTGTATAAGTTCCGTTTTTGTATTAACAACGGAATGTACATCTCTTACAGTAACATTAGTAATAACACTACGGAAATTTTTATCTTTACTTTTTTCTATAATATATTTCAAAAATCCATTTACAATTTATCATTGGATTGGTACAATCTTAGTCTTTACAGGAACAGTAATATTTACAGAAGTATTACCAAAAATTGCAGAAAGTTTACAATTTACAGAGAAGACTAAGAAAGTTCAATAATAAATAATATTATTAATTATATAAACAAAAATGTTATATGTTATATAATATAATTGAGGAAAACAAGATAAACATATCAATTAATACAATAATAAAAAAAAATTACTTTTTTCTCTTTATTTAAACAATCTATAAGTTGTCTATAAAGCTTTATGATCTCATATAAAAATTTAGTTAATAAATTAATAAAAAATTTAATTATAAAATTAATAAAATGAAGAGATTATTTTCACAATATTAAAATGAATAAAAAATCTCAATTAATTATAAACATCAAGTTTTTATATTTCCTATTTATTTAAATGATTATATTTAAATTACACGCGTATAAAAAAAATCTATAAAATGTACATATTTTTTCTATTTCAAAAAAATATATCGTGATATGTGATATAGCGATCAATTTTTATTATGCATTATGATTAGATTTATTAATTATTAGATTTATAATATTATGCAAATATATTTTCATTATAAGATATAAAATATTTTAAATAGATTTTAATATTGATAACACAAAATTATTTTAACAATACAAGTATATTTTTATTTTATAAGATATACTTTATACAATACATACATTTTTTTTATCTAGCAACAATTTATGTTTAAGATTAAATTTCATTACAGATATTTATATATTATCATACATTTGCCGATAAAAGCTCATTAATCACAAAGTTGTATTAAAAACCGAAAGAAATTTATGATTTCAAATTAATTTCAAATAATGATAAATCAAAATTAATTTTGAATTGCCATTTATACAAGTTTAATTATTTTGAATGGTACTAAATTTAATTCAAATTTAATAATAAAAATAATAAAAATTACATAAATATTATAAATATTCATATATGAAATATAATTCATGAAAAAACTATCTCTATTTGAGTCAAACACACTTTTTAAAAACATAACATATACAATTTCTGTATAAATGTACAAAAAGGTAAGAAAATAACACTAGGATTCAAAAAATTAAACTAATATTTTTCTAATGGCTAAAGCATGAAAAATGAATTGCAGTTTTACGGTACTTTACATTTTTTCTTTTTTTCTTTCTTTCTTTTTTTTAATAAAATTAATATATATGGTATTCAATTCTAATTTAATTTATATAATAATATGCAATTATATATAATAAAGATAATAACACTTGAAATTGGAATTTTATCTAATATTTAATTTTTTCTATTCTTAAATTGGTCAACATGAGAAATTTAAGATTAATTTTTCGCTATTTCAGTAAAATTCTGCAACCTGAGTGAAAGACATTTTCCTATAACTTAATTTTTACTTTTAAAAATATTGTCATTATATAATTAAAATATTTTAAAGAAAAAAATATAAAAATTTCAAATTATTAAATATAAAACAATTATCATTATAATATATAATGTAAAAGTATCAAGTGAAATCTAAATAAGATAATTTTTAATTTTACAATTAATGTAATTAATAAAAGAAATGTTTTAAAAAGGAGTCATCGAAAGTTGACAATGATTATTAGCATAAATTATATAATCATTTACATTACAAGATTCTTACAAATAGTTTTTATCGCAGTTTTATCGAATTTTATAGATACTATTTGTAGTTATAGAGAATAATTATATTACGTTTAAGGTTTTTTTTTTGTACTATCGCTAAAGATTAAAATGGAACGGCTTCAGGTTTTTCAACAACTTTAAAGATATTCGATAATTCATCGACTAATGTTTCATATCGATAGGCCACTCGAATATCTGGTACATTTGTTCGAGTAATATCATTACCAGCCACACCCTCTTTAGTATAATTTGGCCCAAGCCAGTATTGTTTACTCTATAAAAATAAAATAAAAATATTTATATTATTTTTATAGTATTAATTTATTATCTGTTAATCATTAGAATATATACCTTGTGTGGAAAACCACTCATAAGTACTGAATTTCGAGCTAGTTCACACATATCACATGAACTAAGTTTCCATACTTGTGCAGCAATACTATATTCTTCCATTAAAGGTTCCTACAAGAAAATATTATTACAAATTTAAATATGAAAATTATAAAAAAAAAAAACATACTTCAATTAAAACGATCTTTATATCATACTGACCTTAGTAAAATGAAATTGAAGAGGATCGTCTGTAGAAAGACTTATACATAATCCTCTAGCTAAATATTCAGGTAATGGATTACGATGATAATTTAAAAAAAGAGAATTATTACTAAGAGGTGACATTGCAATCCCAATTTGCGCTAAATAATATAAATATTGTAATACAGGCACTTTTCGAAGTAAAAGACCATGAGAAATATTTTCTGCCATCATATAACCACAGACAAGATGTTGAATGGGACCAGCTTCACCACAATGAGGTCTAAGAACAAAGGTATTTAAACCTTGTTCTCTACAAACAATATTTTACATTACATATTTGTTTATACAAACAAAAAATATATATGTATGAATAAATAATATCAAATAATTATATATCGATAATTAATAGTAAAGACATATTTACGCTCTAAAATGATTTAGAACAGTCATGTTTGCATAAGTATAATATTGATAATATCCATAAGGAGGATTTTCAATATCATCCCATTCTGCAGGTGGACAAACGTCTTTGTCAAATAAAGGATTTTCGGGTTTACTTTCGTCATCAACGGAATCAAATCCTATTACCTATAATATTTAATATTAAGAATTCTGAAAATTATCAAAACTTGTTTGTTATATCTACTTACATATTGAAGGAATTTATGTAATTCTGGATGAGAATTAGGATCATTTGTCACTTCAAAAAGAGGAAGAAAGATATTGTTCAATATCTCTTGGAAGTTTGTCATCAATTTGTTCAATTTAAAAATATCACTATGAAATGATAAATATCAGAATATGATTTTATTTTAAATTCAATAAACTTCAATAATATATAAATATATTATAACTTACTAAAGTCGTGGAATTTGAATAAGCCAGCGTACATTATCCGAATACACATCGCTTTGAATTGCCCATTTTGCTAATTTGTCCCATTCTTCCGGACTTTTACCGTAAATCGAAAGACGTAACTCCGCATTTTGATATTTCGATTCTTCGAGATCACTGGCAACTTCTTTAATTATACTTGCGAAAAATTTACCATTTAGATAATTATCCGTTTTAAGAAATACTTCACGGAGACGACTTTCACCGATAGGATTATATTTAGCATTGAATTTATCAAATCTATGAAATGTATTTCTATCCTAAAAAAAGAAAGTTATAAATAAATTTATTTTTAAAATTATTTTTTTTATATATGGATGAATTCAATAATATACTTACTGCATGTACATCCAACATATCAACACTAAGATCATAAGTCGTTAAATTCATTGATTGAAATACTTCTCGAAGGGTCATTGTTTCTTTATTTTTAGAACATGTTACAATTTCGTCTGCATGATTCTTTAAGGTTTTCTTAATAAATCTAAGCAGATGTTTTTGATTCATACAAGATGCTGCATGAATATGTGTATCAACCTGAAATCAATAATTATTAATTAATATTTTTAATTAATAAATTATAAATTATTCTTCACTTTATTAATTGTAAATATTCATGATATGAACTAACTATAATGTAATAATTATTTATATTCTATTATTTATATTTTTTTCATATTAACCTTTCTGATATTATAGAAATCTCTATGAGGAACTGCTTTTTGACTGGCAAGTTCTCTAAGCTCATTCAATAACACATGTAGTTGGTATTTTGATGAAAGATAACTCAGTCTTCTGTAGCAAAAGGACTTTAATGGACCATCGGCGATCATTGTACAAAGAAGATTCATATCCCTGACAAAAGTTGCTAAATCAGGATATGAATAAAGAATTGGTTTTCCATCGGTGAAATCTTCTTCATTTGCATATACATTAAAAACACCATTGACAGGAGCAATTATATAATTCTTTGCTGGAGGAAATTCACATTTCCATGGATCTCCTCGAGATGCAGGTGCATGTACAGGATGATCTAATAAAATTTATAAAACAAATATTAAAATATCATTATTTTTTTTTTAATTTTTTGTATTAATATGGAAAGAGGATTAATTTTATATATTATATACATAAAATAATATAATTTAAAAAATTTTTCAACAAAGGATAAGAATGGGAGAAGGACCTTTTAAGACGCATCTTTGAGTGCATTGATGTCTACATCAGATCCATAATTTTCAACTTCTAACAGCAACTTTTACCTTGAGAAACAATACATTAAGTTGATTTTACATCATAAAAATTTAATATATCAAAAATATCATATGATTAACATAAAAAAGAATTGATCAAGGGATTGATAGAAAAAATTAAATGTTAAAAGAAAAATATAATTTCGTAAATTTGGAATAAATACCAGCGATAGCTTTACGATCATCATGTTGAACTTCATCGTCACTGCTCACTGGTCTTTTATCGATGCTGCGTAAAAACCGTGATGTTATAGAAGGAAAACTCTGTTTAGAATTATTCATGTATTTTTCACGTATTGCCAATGCTTGAACTAACATCTGGGACGCTTGCTGTAAATCTTCCAAAGGTACCTATAAATATATAATATTAAGAATTTTTTAATTTCAATATTATTTAAATCTCTTAAATTTTATTTTTATCATTTCTCTCTATTTTTTTTTATTGTAAAAAGAAATTTTTCAATCATTATATAATACAATAGTTTAAAAATTAAGAAAGCTTTTTATAAAATAATAAAAGGTGGATGGAAGGGCAAAATAGTGATATATAATAGGGATTTCCTACATAAGACAACACTTTTGAGGTTTCTTCTCAAAGAGATCTCAAAAAGAACAGTCTTCTACGAACATAGATATATACACGAATAATCAATTGGTTCTATTGTAATTAAAACATCATTATGTTTTAATTACAATAAAAATAATTGATAATTATATCTATAAATTTTAAGAGAATTGAAAAAATCAGCGCTTATTTCAAATCCTTGGAGTAAAAAATAATTATAACTTCATTTTATATGAGATATTTAATATATTTAAAAATCAATGAGAATTTTATATATTTTATACATACCCCGGAAGTATCTTCACCAGATATGGATACCCTCTGAAAGTGTGGGACAAAATCATTTTCTTCGAGATTAAAGTGATGATCGACATCATCTGGTATACCAGGTCCGAGTGATGGTTCATAATGGCTACGACGTTCTTCTAAATCCTTGGCAGCTCTAAAAGAATATTCTAAACATGATTTTTTATTCGAAAAATATAGAAATTTAAATAATGATAAAAAGAGCAAAACATTAAATAGTTTATAATACAAAATATACAATATCGTATATTGATAACTATACATATGTAAAAAGAATATAGAATAATAAATAATTTAAAAAAATGTAAAAAAAAATATAAAAATCAATTTATTTATGTATTTAAAAAATAAAGGAATATCATAAATATGTTATAATAAAATATATGTTATAATAAAAATCTAATTATATTCTGAAGAATATTGTCAAAATTTTGAATATTAATTTTTGTAGAACAGATTTTTCATATAATCTTATAATTTTCTATAATTATACTAAATATTATAAAATTGATAAATATTTTTATAATAATTGATTTTGATATAAATATTACAATACAGTATTTATTCGAAATTTGATTCATAAAATGTTGTGATAAATGTTGATTACTATAATAATCCATAAATTTGATTTTGACTACGTAGAAGTCTAAATTAGTAAAACGCATTTAGAATATGTTATATTTATCTCGTTTTTTGTTTGATATTTCCTCAGTTTATCAAAGTTTGTAGAAAATATATCTTCATATAAATACAAATATTACTTTTCTTACATAATAATTTTAATTATATTATTTTAATAATATTTACTTAAATATATAAATTAACATTACATAATCATTTAATGAAATAAAATAATATTATTTTAAATATACAGTTTTATGCAAGTTTTTTTTTTATACAAAATACAAATATTTTAAATGTTTAATAATGATATTATTAATGTCGATAACAATAATGTAAAGTCGAAGTGATTGAGCTGAAAATATATATATGCTAAAATAGCATAGAAAATAGCATATGCACGCAAGTAGAAAATCGCGTGCATATATTTACTGTGTATTAACGATCCAAAAGTTAAAATTCTTTATGTTTTAGATATATCATTCCTCATATACAATATATTATTCAACAAGAATATATATTATATTTTAGATGATTTATTCTAAATGTCTCCATTGTATTGAATCTATAAAGACAAAAGCGAATAATAGCCACAAAGATCTATTATATTATTAGATATTCGAAATGATAAAATTTGAGATCAAAGTATTATACAGGACAAAATTGTGTCAAAACGATAGCAATCCTATTGCGTCAAATCATAAATTATATATATATATATAATTTAGTAAATATAATTAATAATAAACTAGCATAATTTCAACGAAATACATTAAAACTTAAAACTATATTAAAACCGTTGGAACCTATACAAATATTTTGGTTAACCATTTCAGGACGGATGATAAATTTAATAATATAAATTTTAAAAAATATTTTTTAATGATTAAGATATTTAGTTTTATTGAAAATTTCAAGTTCGTTTATTTGATGGAAAAATACATATCGCTTTTCATTAATTTGTTTTTTAATGTTTAAATTTTATTCAAAATGAAAAATCATTTAAATCTATCGAATTGAAACAAAAAAGTGTCTATAATAATTTTAAAATTCAAATACACAATTATATATGTATACATATTGGATTTTATATTATTGGTTGTTTTGCGGTATATTATAAAGAAAAATAATAAAATCAATATTTAAAATAAAATACTTTCTTATAAAAAAAATCCTTCCTAAAAGGTTTAAGGGATGCAACCATGATGTGGGCATTTTAATTTACCTCAAGAGTATCCTATTATCCCTGAGCCATCGTTTCGACTCGTTCGCACCGGCGAACATGTTACACGTTCCTTGTCTCGTATTTTACGTCTGTTGCATGCACGCTGACAGCGTCCGAAAAACGAAATATTTCATAAGCAAATGTTTCTTTCTTATTATATACATTTTTATCTTTTTCTATTTATCGCAAATTCGATAAAAGTATGAATATTCCAAAAATATAACCAAAATAATATTTCAGTCTTTTTATCAATATATTTTATTATTTCATTACTCATTGTTAATTTCGAATTTTTTTTAAAATTCGTAATGATTATATATTTTATTCCTTCAATCTAATTTAAAATTGAAGGGCTCAGTATAAAAAAACATGTAATATAATATATGCTATAACTTTACAGAAATTTTTAAAGAAAAACAAGTTATACATTATTTTGTTCAATGAATTTATATTTTTTGAAGTGCAACACATCTTTTCAATTAAATTTCATAAATATGTTTATGTTTTTTTTCTTTTTACTTGCATCATACATACTTGAAAAAATAAAACATAAAAATGAAACTGCATGTAAAAATTTATAAATTGTTCAATTCTTTTTTATTAATATAATAAATCTATTTTTAAGTTTTAATTATTTATTTGTTTTCGATATAAATTTTAATTTTTTTCTATTCATGAAATATTATATATCACGGTGCTAGAAAATAATTTAATAAACATTAGAATGCAACAATTAGTCGATATATAAAAAAAATATGACTATATATACATGTGTCTTTTTCCCATTTAATTTATATTTTTATATTTATAAGCCACTGTTGTATTGATATATAATTACAAAATATTTTTAATATGAAATTACAAAATAATATTAAATTATAAATTATAATTTCTCTATGATATTTCAATCAAATAATAAAAATTCAACAAAAATATTTAGCATAATAATCTATATTCATTTAATAAATTCTATTTTTATTTTAATATTAATAACATTAATATAATAACTTATCATTAATAATATATGTATAATTTAATTTGTTTAATTATATGTATATATACATGTACATATATACATAATATACATATATTTTAGATGATTTACATATACATAATATATATAATGTAGTTTAATTTTAATACATTTATATGATATTATGCTCATATAGTAATTAGCAAGAAAAAAAAATAAAACCATTTATAATATTAAACTAAATGAAATTCAAATAGAGTAACAGTTGCATTAATCCATATGTTGTTACGATTACAAATACAGAAAGATAATTTGCAGAAAGAGAGAAAAAATATTACAATTTATATTTAAGATTACATAAGAAACAATTTGATCATAATATAAAAAAATATGAATAAAAAAAATATACCAATGTTTATCAATAAAACGAAATTTTTGTAACTATATACATAAATTTATTACGCGTAATCTAATGTTTAATAAACCTATACTTAATACTTAAAAATTTTAATAATACCGAATATGTGGCTACTAAACGTTTCACACGGAAGGAAATAATTAAAAAAACAAATGTCCGCACTATCAAAGAGCATTGCGTCAAATCATGCGTGTACGCGTATACATACATGTATACGTATCATTCACAAAATTCTTTAGAATCAGAGAAATGAACAAGGAAGAAATGTTAACGTTTTTGACAACAAGGGATGAATTCATTTGTCTTATTCCATACTGTCCCTTTTCATATTCATGGATACATTTCCAACACGTAATTTGAAGATGCACGGCACAGTAAACGCACGGAGAATATGAAATTTCTGTTAATCGATACGTTAACTCACATAGCCTGGCCTCGGAAATGCTCGTGGCGAGGTCATGAAAGGCTATCGTAAAGCCAACCAGGGGATCATGCAGTCGTCCAACACGAGTGTGATATTTCTTCGTGGTGGACCGGAAACGATCTACATTGCACGCAGTGCATACCGGCGAAAACTTCCTCCCTCCTCGATGGTTGCACGACTACTGAACGGCCGACCGTGAGAGCCACCCCTTCGCCGTCTCGCCTATCACTACCGCGCCACTACCATGCTGCGTAGCACTATTGTCACGTCGCAACCACATTGTTCTGACTACTTATATACTATGTATACATATGTATAACAGCAATATAATCTATATGTTTAATTTCCGTCAACGTAACCTTCCGTTGCATTCACTTCGATATTATGTTCATCCCAATTATGTATATTGTTCTAATGTAAATATTTTTTAAAATAGGTAACGGAAGATATACATATCCATTTTGTAATTACATAAATTTATTAATCATTTATTAATTAATTATGAAATATGTTTTATTAATATTGTTATATTAAAAATTAAGAATTAAATTATCTATTTTTATTTATTTATCAACTTAAAAAACTTTCTTTATTCAGTTGATTATTTAGAAATAAAAATAAAAAAATTTAAATGATAAATAATTTCATGGAATTAAATTACAAATACCAATTTTATTATCGCATACTAGCTTTCAAAAAATCAATTTTGTTGCGTCACGATATTATGCTATACGTAGCTTGATCGTTATAAAGAATACCATCATCGATCCTATTATCCGTAATCTTGTAATTAAATTATTTTCTCTCAAAAATAAAATATTTCAAATACTTTTGAAAGTATTAGTAATCATGTTTATAACTTGTAATTAATTATAAAATTATTTTATCAAAATAAATTTATATTTATTTATAAAAAATTATATATTATAAAAAAAATTTATATATATATTTTTTTTCTAGAAATAGAAAATAGAAATTTTCAAATATATTGTTCAACATATTATATGTGTATTTATTTTTTTAATTACTTAGTATCATAGATTAAATCTATTAAAATTCATTAGATTCAATTAAAATTATAAAATAAATTTATCTACTAAATTTATCTAAATTATATTATTATAAACTAATTTATATTATTATTGAAGTTAATTAATTAAACAATTTTTGCAGCTGAAAATGTTTCTTCATTTCATCAAAATATTAAGAAATATTTATTGATTTAAATTTATTTTTGGATAAAATTTAGTATTTGTCATGTAATAAAATAATACAATGTCTTCTATTTAATAATATTATAAAAAATTTATACAGCTTACATTTAATATTGATTTATTTTTTAAATGGAAAAATATAAAGATTATGGAAAATGCAAAGAAAACTTCCTCATAATATTAGAGAAAAGAAATATTTCTCTTTTAATTACAGGTTAACCATCCGTTAAATTGCTATGAAATATTATGTTGCTCAATTCACAGAGCAAGAAATAAAAAAATACTCTTCAGACATATTATCTTTATCGGCAAGTGACCGAAGAAATTGATAAATAAGAAAATGAAGCAAAATTTGCAAATATAACTGCAAAATTGTTAAAATGTTATGTTGCTATAGAAATAAATAGTTGAAATAGTTTGAAGAATACTTAAGAGATACAACTTGAAAATATTACTAAGAGAGCTATTAGAAAAGTCAATATTATCTAAAAAAAAAATTATATTTAATATTCGCAAAGAAAAATAAAAAATGGATAATTTTCAAATGAAAATAGTGTTATATAAGTTCGATGGATCTGGAATGAATGGAATTAAATCTAATGAACATATTTAGGGCTGAATTCGAGCAAAAGAATCAATTTAGCTACTACGTCGTGTTAAGCAAACAGTTTAATATAAAGGGGACTTTATTATACTTAGGGTGTACGATTATGTTTGACATTGGTCTATTATATGATAGATGATATAATAAATCAAAATATAGTGTAAAGATATAATTAATTATTTAGATGATTAATTGATTTTTAAAATAATTAAAGTGAAAGAGAAAAACGGATATAAATATATAATTATTGCGTATTTAAATAAAATTCGAATCAAACTCGAATATCATTTTAAAATTTATCGATCTTTATAATATCATAAGCGATAAAAGAAAAACATTATTTTACACGACTCTTAAAATAATTCGTTATAATTTTTTTTTGTTTGAGTAGATATACATAAGTCAATAGTAATAAAATTTACTCATTCAATCTAAGAAGATATTTTATCATTGCTGTGAATGGAAGAATACAAGAAACAAGAAAACTTTCCAACGAATAATAATTGAAAAACTAACACTATCGATCTTTAAATATTCCACAAATGATTAATTATTATACAATAATATAATAATTTGTTTTGCCATAAACTTTTCGTTTATATAAATTATTTAAATCATTTAATCTTTTTTTTAAAATAAATAATTATTTTTTGTAAAAAATATTTAATGATATTATTCAATATTGATCATACAAAGTTGAAATATTTTAGATCCATTTAAAATATTAAATTTAAAAAATATTTATGAAGAGAAGGAAAAGAGTAACTGCAATTAAATTTTTATATAAATTTTTAAAGATTGGGAAATAGAATTAAATAAATAATTCATCTATTTTTGAAAAAATAAAAATACAAATAAATAATGGTACTTACTTGACGGTTAATTGTCTTTGTATCAGAAGCTTTTTCTCAATTTGTTCAATTGGAAATTGTGGAACTTCGTATGGAGCAGAAATTTCATTAGGTAATTCATGCGATGCGAGTCTCAAGGAAGTCCCACCACCTGTACCTGTTCCACTTTCCAGACCAAAAACTGGACTCTCACTTCCTACAATGATAAATTACAAGTCTTTTAATTCTTTAATTCTATCAACTTTTATATCTTGTACTTAATTAGTTACTCAAAGTTTAAACGCTTAAATATTTTTGATTTCGTTAACGAAATCGTATGTACTCGCTCGAAATTTTTAACTACAAATTTCAATTAAATTTTTTGTATTATTTATTGTTGTCAATATTAAATATAAAATATTTTTATTGAAATTGTTGAATTCCATAATTCCATAATGAATTCCACCTTAATAAAAAAAAAAAATTTATACAACAAAAATTACAAAAATTTATATCGCATTTGAAAAATTACCATCATTTTTTGCTTGTCCAGTTTTTTGTAACCATTCCGTAACAGAATTCCGTTTATATCCAGTCATGTAGTCATTTTCATTACCCAGCACCATTGTGCAAATTATTCTGTGAGTTTAGAAAGATTTTTCAGAATTCTAATATGATTATTTTGAAAATCTTTCATTTTTATCTAATTATAATAATATGAATATTTCTAAATTATTGATTAATTAATTATAATTTTTCTTATATATATTATACGAAGCATTCGTCAAGATGAATTCAACAACATGAGAGAATTTAATTTAATTGAAATATTTTATTTAAATTTTGTGCAATTAAATGATTTTAATATTCAAAACAATAAAATTTTATTTATATATGTATTATCATTTATATATATGTATATTTCATTTTATTTTACAAGAAAGAAAGTTATAAAGAAAGTTATAAAGAAAGTTTATAAATTGTTCATCCATAACTTAAAAATTTTTAAATTCAGGGATTATGAAATGTATATCTCAGCTCATCATGCCTACTAATATTATTTTTGATTCGATATATCTTTTCTTCTTGAGTTATGAATTAAATAATTATAAATAAAATTAAAAATTACAAATTACAATTACCAACTTCGCCAGCTAAGTGAAAAAAATAACTCAGTAAAATTATCGACAATTCATTTATACTACTTTGTTGAGTCGATATACTGGAAATTTGCATGCATATAAGTTGATCGTCATTTGTAACCTTGATTAATAAATATGTCGGAAATCTGTACACATGCGAATAATATTGCTGCAAAAATTGTGTTTTGAAGAAATAACGTCATGTTAATTCTATTTTTACTTTACATCATATATCGTGTATATATTATATAATCATGTTATATTTAATCATAAGCTATGTAATTTCATTTATCGATATCTCCATTTATCTATAATATAAATTAATTTGTTGATTCATTCATTGATTATATTAATTCTTTTCTCAATTTCCTTAAAATAATAACATTGTATACAAATTTTTCAATTTAGAAGAGCTCAAAACAAAGTATTGAAAATATGGTGAAAATAAATAATTAAAAAAAATTGTTCTTTAAAATAATTAACTTATAAATATCATGTTAATTTTAATTTAAGTGAAAAATATTATTAAATAAAATTTGAAATTAAATTCCGGACGAAGTTGAATAGAAAAGTTAATATTTGATAAATGCACAAAATCACCAAAATATTTACTTAATTTTTATATTTAAATGGTTTTGAATTTATTCGTAAATTGTTGAAATTATCTTAATAATTATCTCTATATAACATAAAAATAATAGCTATCAAAATTATTGATTAAATTCATAGTCTAATTATTATATTTATTTATTATATAAACATCATGAAATGAAAATATTTATTCGAATTTTCAAATAAAAATAATAAAACATTGTCTTCTTATATTTTTCTTTTCATAAATTTGTTATTTATAAGAAAAACATTATAAGCTAATAAAGCGTAAACGTTTTGCATAAAATTCATATTTTACTTTAAACTAAATATAAAATTCTTTTCAAATTTATTCCAAAATTTATTCCAAAAACTATTAAATAGTATAATTTCAATTTATCTTTTTAATAACAACAAAAATTAAAGCAATATTTTCTATTTTAAATATTTTATTGATAAAATTGATAATTCAATAAATTTCATGACCTATGACCTATGATAAGTTTACAAAACACAATGTGTATTAATAGAACAGAATGTAGAGAATATCATAAAACGAAAGGACAACGGCTGTTTACATTCCTTAAGTACAATGAATTTTATTTTGTATTTTACCAGCTGGTTTAGATTAATAATTTTATAAATGAACATAATCCAATCATAATAAACTATTGACTCATGCTAATAAAAATATGATGATTGACAGTCATGTAATTTTTTATGCAGCATTGTTTAATTTAGGTAACTGTAGATGTAACTGTACTGTACTTTCAATTTATAAATAAAGTTTTTTTTGTATTTACATTGATTCGCGAATAACTACTTTCAGAAAATATGTCTGCTCGCATGAGTCATCGAGAATTTGATTTGGCGAATACCAAAAATATAGAATTATAGCATATATTTATATTTTTAGATATGTAAAAATAAATTACTTCAGTGTTTACATATTTCTCACAGTTATAGTTATATATATATATATATATATATATATATAAAATATGACACACTAGATAATTTTAGTATTTACATGTATCACATAAAAATTAAATTAAATTAAATTAAAAATTTTTGTAAAAAAAAATCATAATAATTCAGAAAAATATCAATAATGTTTCATAAACAATATAAACACTAACAATGTAAACATTAACTTTTAAAAAAAACAAATCATTGTTAACTGAAAGAAAGTTTTTAAATGACTTTGACAAGTATGTTGTTATTAATATTTTTATTTTGATTGCATATTTAGATCAAAAAATTTATGGCATAAACGATCATTAGTTCAAAATTTATTTAAAAATTTTACAAATATGTAAATACCACATTTTTACTACTTTGAAAATCTACTTCCGATTTCTTTCTTTTAATTTATCACAAATATACACTCCTGTTTCTAAAAAAAATTGACACAAAACTCTTATGCAAAATTATATAAAAGACCTGGATGTAAAACGAGACTCTTAATTCGAGAAGACACTATTCACGTTAACTGATTGCGAGTATCGAATACACTGACTGTAGCGTAGAGTTGGCACTTGGTAGACATCGTAGAATCGGTACGTACAACTACACATTCGTGTATATACATATATACAACTTGCCATCAAGCTGTTTTCTGGTAGCGCCGTTAACGCACGTACGCCAAGATCGTGAAACAGTTCTCAAGAAGCGTTAACTATCGCACGTTCTCTTATAGCAATATTATATATATATATATATTTACATTTCACTCATTATATTGATCTTTATTCAATTAACTCAGAATTAGCTGTTTTTTCAATAAATATAAATTATTGATTAATACTTTAATATTTTCACATACATACTTCAAGTGTTTGAAGTTAATCGTATTTTTCATATATATATATATTTCATTTTATGATAAATAACCTCTCAAGATGAAGTTATGCTAAAATTAATATAGAATGATAATGAAATATGAATCACTAATGACATAAAAATAGTATCCATAGAAATAATTTGAACATTTATTAAAATTTTTACATAGACATATGAGTACATCTGTATAAAAATTATAATTGATGTACGTATTATTTTTATTTGACTCATTGCTTGAAACTATATATACATAATGTATATAGCATTCGTATAAAGTGTAATTGTCAAAATAAAATCAAAATATTTTATATATATATAGATATGATTCTATTATGAAGATTAATATTAAACAAATATTAAGTTTTATTAAATTAAGTGCATTAATCATTTGCATTTAAAGTATTATTAATGAAGATCTAAATGTATCTTGTGATCATCAATAATCTGAATAACTCAAATATCATATGCATATATAATTTAATACTTATATATCTACATATGCATATATAATTTAATACTTATATATCTACATATGCATATACATAAATAATTATTTGAAATTAATTGATTATTTAATATTGAATTTCAATATATTAGACATCTTTTTCATAAATTTTATTAGTTAGTATATGACAAATAATAATCTATCTTCTAATTATTTATGTTTTGTTATCTATAAATTAGTTGAAAACTAAGTTATCAGAAAAGTATTTCACATATTGGCAGAAATTAAAATCAATGTGCCAAAGTTATCTAATCAATATAAATCTGTACAAAATATTACTTTGAAAAATTAATTCTGATAACAAAAACTATAGAAACATATAATAAATAATAAATAAATTACATAATAAATTTATATACATAATAATAATAATGCATAATAATTCAATTTATAATATATAATTATTTTTTATAAATCAAAATTATTTTTATATTATTAAATTTAATAATGCAATAATTACTATTTTTTTGCAATGTACAATTTTGTAATGTATAATTTTCACTTTACTCTTATTTATGGACGAATTAGTTATATCCGTAATACTCATTATCAAACTATCGTAGATAATCTTTTTATATTCACATAAATATCACTTTTCTTAATTATATTTTTTAATAGTAACTAATAATAGTAACTAATAATTGATGATACATAATCAGAATCGTTTCATGAAAAGCTTTCAAATATTTTTATAAATAACTAATATGTAAAATTCTCTATTTCGGATTCATAACTTTTCATGAATTAGATTTTGGCACTTGATCAATGTCTGAATTTAACTATTAGAATTTCTTCATGTATTAATAATATTAACAATATTAATAAATGCACTGAATCAATTAAATAATTTATAAAAATATACAAAATATTTTTCTTCAACTATTCAATTAATATATTTCATTAATATTATATTTAAAAAATCTTTTCAAAATGTTTTCAATATCATATATTTTTATGCGATATTTTTTTATGCGATTATTAATTATTTATAAAGTATACATTTCGATGGTTAAATAAAATGAATTATTTATTATATATTATATTATTCTAAACAAAAGCTAATAAGAATTTTCCCACCTTTTTTTTTTAAATGCAGTTTCCATGATAATTTATTCATAATTGAATTCATTGTATGAAATTACAAAGAATCTTTTAAATGCTAATTACTTCCAATTTTCTTCTTTCTATTTTAAACAGATCCACAATATTGAATAAAATTATATCAAACTATTTAATCAAACACATAATAAAAATTATTTGATTGAAAATTAAAAAATATGGATTAATAAAATACTATATAATATACTATATAATAATAATATCGTTATATTCACATGATTAAATTATTAATTCAAGTATATATACTTTATATATCAAATTCTTTGAATAATACAAAATATTACGAAGACAATCTTATTTTAAAAATAAAAAATATTTTAAATAAAATCTATATTGTCTACTTGTATATTACTACTTTAATTACGTAAATGTGAATTCTTTGAGAAAAACTTCCTATTTGAATTTGAATATTATGAAATACTAAATTGCATCGATAATAACACGAACGTAAAAAAATGCAAATGCTTATACAAATTACTGATAAGATATCTAACCTAATGATAGATTGGTGGTATTATATGTACCATTATCAGATTTAAACAAAGATAAAAATAGTGATATATGTATATATATTACAAATTTGATTTTTATAATATTTAAATTAAAACATATTTCATTAAATAATTTAAAAATTAATAGAAGATAAAATAAAATATAATAAAATATAAAATATAACTAAATAATTTACAATTAATATCAAATTATATTAACAAACAATGAAATGATACAAAAAATTTTGTAATATATTGTTTATTTTCTTTAGTATAGTATGATGTATGAATCATCATTTAAATTATTTATAAATTAAAATTTTGAGATTCTCAGACAGATATTATTTATAATTTAAAAATCCATAGTATAAATGAACATAAATGTAAAAATGAATAATGAACAATATTATAACTTTTATTTATTCCTTGCATTTATATAGCATAAAAAAAAAATAATGAAAAAATTAAAAAAAAATTGAAATGAATAATTTTTTTTAATCATTACACAATAGAAACTTTAGAAAAAATTTTGAAAAACAATTTATTTTTTATATATTATATTATATATTTATTTTTTGTACTTTTTAACAATAATATAATAGTATACAAATATAAAAATAGTATCATAAAAATCTTAATGTATTCATTAATAATATCATAACAATTTTAATATATTTATAATTGTTATAATAATATTTTTTTGTTAAAAATATAAATTTTTAAATAGAAAAAAATCAATTCTTTCCTACCTTCATCCTCAGGATATATAAAAAAATTTGGTATCCTCGGACAGAGAAAAAAATCGTTTTCTAAGGAAGTGACACCTCTACTTGACATGATTCGATTTATAGGCGAACACCAAACACCACTCACGATATGAATTTGAAATAATTTATATTCTAAAAATTTGTAATAAATATAATAAATATATTTAGATTTTTTCATAAGAAATATTTTTGCTTCGAATACACACCAATCTTTTTTCTTTGTAATAATGAATTCTTCTCCTTATTACACTGTTCAGTTAACAACTGAATTTTATGCCTCAACGTCAAGTTAACTATACTTAGTTTATCCAATGTTATGACACACGTGTGCTAACCATTTAACTCTATACTAAATAAATATTATTCGTCAATGTTATTTGTTATCTATATATGAAATCCACACAATCACTCGTAATTAATGTAATTTTATACACATTTAGTGCATCTAATTATATGTTTTTTTATGATAGACTGAACGCAGACGATGTCTTGTGATACTAATACACCAAAATGATACTGTTTATTGTTAGAAACATTGGTTCTCTATGTCGAATAGGTATTTACAAAATGGAAAAATATCAAAAAAGTGACCGACGTTCTCTCGATCGTATAAAACAGGATTATTATTATCACAAAACTAGCTCACTATTCTTCTTCTTATTTCTTCTTATTTTTGTTCACGTATTAATCTTGAACAAACTAATGTACAATGCATGAACTGAGAGAAGATGGTTGCACGATGGCAAAAATACTATTCAGTGCGTGAAGGCAAGAAAGAGGACGAAAACAAAATGAAGAATGCAAACAAAATGTAGGCTCTATGCCAAATTTCAAAAACGTCATTTGATGATATACTGCCATCATGCGTAATGATTTCTTATGCGTATAATATTATATCTATTTTAAAGTAATTTTATAATATTTTATGCTCGTAAATTAATCAAATTAAACCAAAAATTATTTTTTATACTTCTTTATATTATTATTATGTATTTTATGTATTATTATGATATTATTTTTATGTATTTTTGTTTTTATATTTTTATATGTAAATAAGACATTATAAAATATCAGTTTGTATGCTAATAATACGTGTTTGAATAATTATGTACATATTTATTTTCAAAATTAATAAATATATAATCTGTATACTTAAGTAAAAATATTTATATCAATTGGCGAAATAATTCCTAAAAATATAAACAATATATAAAAAAAAATAAATCTTATATAAAAAACATAATTCTATGTAAAATCTAATAATTGAAAAATAATAAAAAAAATAATTTTTCAATTAAATTATTCTTAACAATAAATAATTTTATTTATTATTGAAAATTATTAATTATTATTAGAATAAAGTGAAATAAAGCCATGTTATATAATGTCATACAATAAATTATCGATCCTCTTAAAAATTTTAAACTATCGAATGAATGATAACTATTTTCATGACTCTATTTTTTTCTTCAGCATTGTTATCAAAAACGCTTATCTATAGATAAGCTAAAATTACAGTATCATATTTAAGTTATGTTTTACGCTTTGATGATACGCTCATAAGGCAAGTGCATTAAAAAAAAATATTATCACTAATACAAAATGTTTCACTGTAAAAAAATGTAAATAATAGCTATTAATAGCATAACTATTTCAATTTTTTTTGTTTACAAATAATAAAATTGAATAAGTGCAAAAATTATGACTTTTGATATAAATATACACTATACTTTTATAAAAATAATTTATTAAATTAATTGTATAATCTTTGCATTGTCTTTATAATATAATTTTTCTATAAAAATGTATATATTATTTTCTAATTATAAATTCAATTAATTGATCAATGTATATAAAATTATATATATATAATTTACAATTCTATTACCTCAAATTACAATTATAAATTAATAATACAATTATAAATTTCAGTTACCTCAAATTACAATTATAAATTATAAATTGCTTATTACTATAATTATATATTTGATATGAAATATCAAAAAATGAAACTTACGGTCACGATGATGATCGACATTATGCGGTGTTGTTGAACTATCAGCGTCACCTTCACCATCTAATTCGTAATAAATCCTATTGGTTCCACTATTAACATCCTTCATGCCGTTTATTACTAGATCTTCCATCCTTCTATGAACATGTAGATATATTTTGATTTCTTTTTCCATCTAAATTTAACCGTCTGAATTTAATATATTTAATATATTTCAATTGTATCATTATTACAGCATATGAAAAACACAATATTGTCATTAATCAATTCAATATTGTCATTAAAATTATTATTATATATTCATACTGCGTTATGAATAAATATAAATTTAATTCAGATCTATCTACAAGTGTACTATATTGTATATGAATGTCATGTTCAATATAATATATATATATAAAAGAAATGTATATATCATTTATTTACATGAAATCATTAAAAAATTAATGAAAAACAATAATAAATAATAACAAAAAAACAGAACAAAAAATTTTCTTATTTCTAATCAATTTCTATTCATTATTCGCTTCTTGTTAATTCTTGTTAATTTTTTATATTATGATAATAATATAATTTTGCGTCAATTTAAATCGAATTTATATTTGACTAAAATAGTATTTAGAAAAAAAAATTAAGTTTATTAAAACCTGAATTATATTTGTGAACTTGTAATTGTTCAAGAAAAAAAAATAATGTGTTTATTTTTTTTTTATTAATTAATATATAGTAATTATATATATAATTATATCCAAAATATATATAGAATTTGTTTTTATTAAAATGTTTTAAATGCAAGTTCAAAATTTAAATAATAAAATAAAAATAAAATAAAATAAAAAAAATAAATATGTAATAAAAAAATCAATAATAAACAAAAAATTATTATATTATTTATAAATAAAGCATATTTATATTTTTCATTTATAAAATCTAAGAATGAGAGATGTTGAATTATAATAAATATTTTCTAAATAATGTTAAATATAATAAAAGATATATAAATAAAAATAATAATTCATATATTAGATATTCCAAGATTGATGAACAAACGAATGATATATCTGTAACGATGCAATTGAATTATGTTAAGAATAATATTAAGAAAGATAAAATTTTAAATAATGAGGATGAGAACAATGTGAAAAATTCCTTCACGAAATTTTTTTACTTGCGAAACTCCCATCTGACTTAGGAAAGATTAAAAAAAAAATTCGAGATAATCTTCTCAAGATATATTCAAAATTTTTGATATCCGCATTTGCATTGAGAAACATAATAATTGACACTTGTAAGCAGAATTTAAAATAAAACATAAAATCATTCAAATTTATTGAACTTAAACAAAGTTTCCAAACTTTGATCTTCCTATTTAAATTTTATAAATTGTATTTGAGGACACAATTGAGTATTGTATTTCAATCTTTTCATGTATGTAATTATTTATCATTTTATTTATTATTCAAAAAAATATTTGAAATATAACTTACTTTCAAAAGAAAAGCATTTAATTCTGGATACAAGTTTTATTTACCAAAAAATTCCGGAAATTTTTTCAAAGTAATTTTTTTTTTAAATCAATATATGAATTAATGGACTTATGATTATTTTAATATTATTTTTAATATTATTTTAAAGATTATTTATAAAATCTTTTTATAAAATCCCATTTCAAGAAAAATCGAAGATATAAAAAAAATGATGATTTTATTTTAAAACTATATTTCTATTTAATTAAGTGGTAAGTGAAACATTTTTCAAAAATTCGGTAAAAGAAATCTTAATATTTACAACAAAATTAATGTTTATGATGATAATAGATTAATGATAACTTATATGCAAATAAAATAAAATAATTGTAGAAAATAACTTTAAAGTTGAGTTGAAAGTTAACTTGAAAGTTATTTTATATATAGATTAATGATTTCTCGAAATGGTTACATATCTAGTTAAACGAAAATACAGATCTAAAAAAAACAAAGATCAATTTAAAATCTGAAATTCTTTATTTAGATAAAATTTATGTTTAAATATGTTAAAAATTTATTCATTCATTCAAAATGAAATAAATTTTAGAATAAATCTTTGAAACATATTTTTAAATAATAAAATAATTTGATAAATAATTACATAAAAAAATTCAAATGATATATCTTGTATATGATATAAAATAAAATAAATAATTTGAATTAATCTATCATTATTTAAATTAAAAGATACATAATATTAATATGATAATTGTATTAATAATCATATATTAATAATATTAATCGTATTAATTGTATAATAATATTAATATAATTTTCTTACACTTTCGTTATTTTCAGATCTTACGCATGAAACGTCAGTATATGTTTTTTCTTTTTTTTAGATCACTATCCTTAAACATCACTCAATATAAATAATATATATTCATAAATTATATACATATGTATATATGCATTACACAATAATGAAAATAATCACAGAACACTGTTTTCTAAATATTTGATATTTAAATAACTACATTCATGAAGCATTCAGAATTTGCCTTTTATAGTAGCTTTTCTTATAGATACAACAAGGTCACGATGTTATAATTTAATAGTATATATGAAAAACAGATTCACTTATATTATACATACGTATTTTTTTTATAAAGATCACTGATTTATTAAACATAAAAGAAGAACTTCATAAAGTGATATAATTCTTAATAATAAAGGAAATATCACACATAAAACTTCCGGCACGCTGGAGCGTGCTGTTAGCTAGAGACTGTCACTGCATGTTTCAACCGCGATATGTTGTATAGGATCGTATCTAGTATCATAAGAACCTTCTTATAATCTTGATAGAAAGATGATGAATAGAACTCATTCAAACGATAAAAATATCTGAATAAATACATTTGAGAATAATAACTTTTTTTAAAATTGTTCTTAAATCTTTAAATTTTTCAATAATCATAATAAAATAACCTCATTTATAAACATAAATCTGGCTTGTTTATTAATACTTAATATACAAAATGTATAAAAATAATTTTCACATATAATATTGTGAATGTATATTATAATGTTGCTTGTAAGTTTTAATAAATTTATTCATTAAATAAATAGAAAAATTGAAAATAGAATAATAATTCATAGTTGATAGATTTTAAATAATATTATATTATAAAATATTAAACTTATTGTAAGCATTAATGGAAATCATTGAAATATTTAAAAAAACAAAATTTTTCACCTGAAATCTTAAAGGTAGTACAAATGAAGAAGACTACGGTAATGGGCACGATTAGTCGAGTGGCGCCATAGCGATATGAAGCACGTCACACAATTGGCGCAGACTCACAACTGTCGATCTTGTGAAAATCCATATCGCATGACACAACAAATTAATATTCTTGGAAAATATTAAAAGATATAATATTTTATGAAATTTATAGCAAATATTTAATCAAAAAAAAAATAAATTGTAATATTTATTAACTCTATATCTATTAAATCTTGAAATTTGTACATAATATATGTATATATATTATATTATATTATATTATATTATATTATATTATATTATATATATTATATTAAAACTATATAATAGAAATAAAAATTCGAAAAATATCTACTATTCGATATATTATTTTAAAAAAAAATAATAATATGAATCGAACAAAATAGGAAAAAATAACAATAGAAATATTATATAATATTGTTAATTTTTTTTTATTAACATACGTAACTTTATTAAGTTAAATAACATTATTAAATATAATATTAAATAATATATTAAATATAATATAAGCATATATTATATGTTTTAAAAAGAATTTCACATGGAGAGTCAAATATATTTTATACAATATGTTTTTGTAACAGATTTTTTTGCATTTTAATTAAAATCGAAATCACTTTCTGTATTTGATATATTTCTTTCGATTGTGCTATCTGTATCAGAATCTAACAAAGATTTAATTACATCTTTCGTTTTTTTCTCTTCATTTTCAGAAGATAATTTTTCATTTTTATTCTCAACTTTCGTGTCAAGTTTTTCTTCTATTTTTTTATGTTTTAATTCTTGTAATTCTTTGCATTCTTGAGTTTCTTTATTTTCTTCTTGTTGTATCTGATTAGGATCATAATCAGTATATGGAAAAGATTGATTTACATGGGTATCGCTTATTTGATTCGAATCATATTGTTGGTCATAAGCATATTCATATTGTTGATTCGTATCTTCCTGGTATTGTATGTTAGGATCATGTTCATACTGATTTTCAGAATCATATTGTTCGTCTATATATTCTTCGTATTGTTCGCTCGATCCTTGCATGTATTCTTGATTAATATATTCTTGATATTCTTGATTTTCATTATTTTCATACATTGTGTTTTCTTTATAATTATGTTCTTGATTAGTTTCATATGATGTATTTGGATCATAATTTTGATTTTGATTAGTATCATATAATGCATTTGCATTGTAATTTTCATCTTGATTAATTTCATATGAAATGTTTGAATCATAATTTTGTTTCTGATTAGTTTCATACATATTTTGATCATAATTTTGATTTTGATTATTTTCATATAATGCATTTTGATCATAATTTTGTTTTTCATACATAACATAATCTTTATTTAAATCAGTATATTCTGTTTCATAATTTTGCATGTAATTTTGTGTTTGATTAGAATCTTCGAAATAATTTTGATTGCCATATTCATCATTTTGTATTATTACCTCTTGTCTGTTATTTTCAGATACGTTATCAGATACAAAATTAATTTCATCACATTCTTGTATTTGCTCATTGTCAACTTTATTCTCATCATCAATCTGATTTTTCGTTGATTCTATATTTTGAATAATATTTTCATTGTTTGTATATTTTTTATTTTTATATTCTATTTCTTGATGTTGCGAAATATGTTCATTTATTTCTACTTCATTTTCGTTTACGAATCCTTCTTTTGGTTCAAGACTTTCTTCTTTTAATTCATTTTTCGTGCTATCTGTATCTATATATTTTTCATTCACATCTTCTCTACAATTTTTTTCATCTTTTCGATTTTCTACAGTATTTTTCTCTAAATTTAAAGATCTAATTTGCTCTACATTATCCTTTAATTTAAAATTATCAATAACAAATCCTTCCTTATCTAAATGATTTTCAGCTTCTTGAGTTAAATCTATTTCCTTTACCCATTTCTGTAAAAGATCCACATTCCATGGTTCTAAATCTTCGACAGTATCAAATGAATCTTGATTAAGATTTGATTCTATTGCGATATAAATATTATCTTTCTCATTATAATTTTCTTTTTGTATATTTTTTAAAGTAACATTCTTATTATCTTTCTCCATAATTTTATCGTCTAATGAAATATCGGAATCATTGTGCTCATCGCTTTTCATTTTAATTAATTGCTGTTGAGATTGTCTTGGAGTGTTATCTACACTATTGATATTCTCTTTCCTACAATTTTCAATATTTTGATGTAGATCTAATTTTGGTTTATGTAACTTAATATCGCTGCTAATTTCGTCTTTCGCAAACGCGACGTAGTTTCTTTCGAAAATCGGAATATGGTTTTGCATGGTTTCAACCAATTCAACATTTCTATTTTTATTTATACGTTCTTTTTCAGAACTACTAACATTTAAATCCACTGTTCTAGATGCGAGATCATCCGCTAATGACAAAACCTTTTCAACTTCTTTAGATATTTTTTCTTTCGATTGATGTTCAACAAAATCCCCTAAATTATCATTTAATGAAGAAATATTAAGTATGTTATCAGTTATATTTTGTTCTTGATCAAGTTCTTCCAAACTTTGCGTATCAAGATCATAATGAAGTTTTCGAATTTTATCAATGTAACTGTCTAATTCATTTTCTACGATCATCGTTGTTCTACGTTTGTTTTCTATAGCGGATTGTTTCGCATTTGTTGACAATCTTGTATTAATTGAGATTTTTGGGGTAAAATGTTTGTCACGTTTTATCGTATTATCAACGTCGAAAGTCTTTAATGAATGCACAGGAATATCACTAACAAATTTATGCTTTGGTTTAAAATAATTAGATTTTTTCCACGAATAATCAAAGTAATTTGGAGAAACTTGTCTCGATAACGTCAGAGATTTGTTTAATGAAGATGTATCATTTTGTTTTACAGATGTTGATATAGTTTTGTGAACTGGAGATAGTTCATCAATATCTTTTGTTTGCATTTGTATATTATTTAACAATATTTTATTATTTTCTTGTTGAGAAGATTGTACAACTGATGATGAATGAATGTATTGTAAATTTATTGGAATATATTGATTTTTACTTATATCCAAGGATTTACATTGTGATATATCATTGATAGTATGTTCCGGATTTACAAAATGCGTAATAGTATGGGCTATTTCCATTTGTTTTGATAAAGGTTTATTAAAATTATAATGCGAAAGAGTTTGTTGATTTAATGAACTCGATCGATTTGATGATACATATGGAACGTGTAAATTTGAATCAATTTGTATATAAGATTGCTTTTGTGGCAATAAATTTTGGGTTGGTAATTGTTGAATCAATTCATTGTTTTGTAAAATTATCGGATACGACTGAAAAATATTTTGATCGTTTCTTTGTTGATTTAAATTTGATTGTGTAATATTTCGTTGATAATAATCACAAGACGTGTTTTGAACCGATTTTATTAAACCTTCTGATGCAGATGATGGAGAAATCGATCGATTCTTTTGAGAATTCAATCGCAACAATTTAGGTGATAATACATTTTCTATTTCAGGAGAAATTTGTTTCGTAGTGATATCCTTTTTTAAATATTTATTTTTAGCTTGATTTGTTATATTGTCGTCATTAATATTACTTGTCGATGAAAGAGGAATCGTATGAATACGATGAAGATAAGATTCATATTGTTTCTGTAAAAACGAGATATTCTATGTTGCAATATATTTAACAACATGCTACACATTTCAAATAAATATTTTATATTTATATAATTATATATACTATGCATTAATTAATAAATTACTATATATTATTTGCTAGAATTAATTTAAAAGTTAAGTAAAATTAAGTAAAAGTTACATATATATATATATATATATATATATATATATATNTAAGGTTTTCTATATTTATATATTTGTTTATATAGAATAATAAGATTACTAAAATAATTGCAAAGGAGAAAAAAACTCACTCTAAGAATGTTAAGTCTATCCGTTTTTGTAGTCATCAATGTAAGACTATTATCTACTCTATCCAATGCTTCAAAAAGTTTATGATTCTTTTCATCTCTTGTGCGCTGTTCTTCTAAAAATTCTATATATCTTAAACGTAATCGATTTATACACGCATCATGCCTGAAATATCAATAATTTTGTATAAAAGATTTCTCTTTTTTAAAAAAAAATTTTTTCTAAAGAAAACTATTAATTTAAATAATCAATAATTGTAAGATCATTAAAACAAGTTTATATTTTATTAGAATCAATCTATTATAATTTATTGAATATCTACTATGTAAATATACACTTCATAATATATATGTATATATGATCGAAGAAAATTGCGTGATCTTGGCAAAAAATTATGTATAATATATGTATGTATAATATATTTATCTACATAATTATACTTGTTCATATATCTACATTAATTATATCAAAATAAAGATTAAAATATCAAATTATAAATATTTCTTATATATTTTTATGCAATTGAAATTTTTCTATCTCTGAAGGTTAAAGTATATTTCAAAATATAAACACAAAGAACACGAAATTCATGTTCGAAGTCAATTATAAAACAAAGTTAGTATTGATTGTGACAACTTTCTTAAAACTAGGTCATTTCCTAATCAATACATAATATTCAAAATTCTATCGTTATTATTATAAAACAGAAATATAATCGATAACGAGACAATTATTTGCCAATATATGTAATATTATTTTTAAAAATATTTTTTTTTGTTTATATATTAAAGTAAATTAATGATTATTTTAATAGTTTATAAAAATAATAAATTTAATAATAACACATTTAAGTAAATAATTTTTAAATTTTACCTATTACGAGATTCCTGTACAAGTATTTTGAATCTTTCTTCTAATCTTATTCTTTCTTCTTCACTGTAACAATTATTCGGAAACATATATAATAATCTATTTATTTATATTTTATAATTCTATACTTACTAATAAATTTTAATGTATTGTTACTATATTGTTTATATAAAAAAATATACTTACCTTTTTCGCAACTTTTCTTGTAGTTCCAACATTTTTTTATAATAATCATAATTATCGTAAAACGATGTCATAATTAATAACAATTTATAATTCAACTTGAAATTAATTCAAAAATTTAAGTTATCGACTGTATCGACATTCGATATTTGGCGCTTATTACGAAAAATTTTAATAAAATTGACAATAATAAACAATATTTACATATAACATATTTCGCGTAACTAATAAACATTTTATATAACCATATATAATGTAACAAATATATATTAAATTTATAAATAGTGAATATTTACTTTGATACTTTGTAAAACCATTTCAATTATTGATTAAATAATTGAAACAAGTGATCAATAAATTCATTAAATATTTTACTTATTACGATGTAATATAAATTTATTTTATTTTGAATAACCATAACAAGAATTATTGTAACGATCTTTCTTTGGTTCGGTACTACGAACGACTGTCGTATTTGACGTTGTGCAATGGGTAGAGTCGAGGGTGTTACAGCAAGTAAACACGCAGGTGTTGTCCCTACTCCTATTCTAACTCACGCAATAATATTTATTTAAAATTTTATTTGTTTTAATTTGATAATATAAAAATAATATATTAAAAATAAAAGATCTTGTTTAAAATAATATTTATATTAATCTTTTATATATAATAATATTTATATTAATCTTAAATTTTAATTCATTTTTATTAAAGTAATTATTATTAAATATTACAATCAATTTTGCAAAAAAAGAAAGAAAGAAAAAATTTATTAAAATAATGAAAAAAAATCTGTTTATACATTACTACATTTGTTATCAATTATTTTTAAAAATAAAATGTTCATTTTTAAAAAGTCAAATGTTAAATGTAAATTTATTTATATTTTTTATATAGAATAAATAGAATAAATATTTTTATCCTAAAATTATATAAATTATTTTTTTCTGGAAATAAATAGATTATTACAAAATAAATAAATAATGAATCAAATAAATTAAATTTAAATCCTTATTATATTTTATTGATATTTTTCTGATTTGTTGTATAAAAATTAAATTTCATTAAAAATTTATTGGAAATATATAATAATAAAAACATTTTAAATATTATTTTTTTACATGTTATTACATTTTATTAAGCATCATCACATTTTCTAATATAAACTGCACACACATGTTCATGTAATTCTGGTATTTTTTCTGTAGCCATATATAATGTATGTTGTAGACAATTTCCAATAAGTTTAAATTCTCTTTGAATCTATATTTAAATAATTTTTTTAAATTATAATTATAATTATATATTGTCATTTTTTTATTAATTTATTTTTTGTAAATAATTATAGTTACATAATTATACCTCGATTACTTTATGTAAATTTGTCCCTTTCGTTGGTCGTCTTATATTAGTTGATCTCAATTTAATAATTTTATTTTCAAATATTCCTTCTTCTATTGTTGTTGCACCAAAATTATGAGATAAAAGTAGATGTACTTTATTTGTATCAGGTATTATTTTTAAAAAACCCATTTCATAATGTAATGGTTTTTTTGTTTCAACATCCCAACTTTTTGCAACATAATTTAACATTGGTTGACCAATAGAATACCAATTCATTTCTTCATGATATTTAAAAGGTGTAATTGTTGGAAATTTACCAGTTCCAGGACAATTTTCTCTAGTTCTCCATATACCTTTCAACCAAGCTAATGGTTTGATTGCTTCATGCATTGTTAATTGTTGCATATCTAATGAAAAAAATATTTTATATAAATATTTTTATGTAGACATATAAATATTTTATAAGAAAAAAATAACTATTATTTAAATATTGTGTCATAATACTAACCTTTATCATAGAAATATCTTTTTTTATATCTTAGAATTTAAAAAGTTCTTATAACATTTATTTCTTTAATGATTCGAAATTTTTCTTTTTTTATAATCATTATAAATATATTATAATAGTATATATTTATAATAATATATTATACTAAATATTAATATTTATCAATATTAGAAGATATTAGAACCAATGAACCAGAAAGTATTTTTTCATATTCAATTATTATTTATTTAATTCAATATTTGAATATAATTACAATATTCAAAAAATTTTATTTTGTTCTCAATTTAAATTTTGTGAATTATATTATAACATCGATTTTCATATTATATTATGTAGTAAAATAACCTTTAAATTAACTAATAGTCATGTATAAGTATATATATATATATATATATCAAAATTTAAGTAGACATACAAACGTGGTGAAAATACGTTAAATATTAATAAATTTTTAAACAAATGCAAAAATTTAAAAAAGGATCCGTAATTTCAAAATAGTAATATGGCGACAACAATTTACAAATTCGAGTAAATTATATCGCATATATCTGCTTATAGTTAGTACTTTTTTCTAATAATTATATAATAAATTATTTATTTTTTTAATTTACGTAACATATTAATCATAAATCATTTATTTATTTTTTTTGAAATTTGATTTTCATATTATTTATTTTAAGATATATATCTCCGATATTTATATAATGATCAATGATTAATATATTAAGAATTATTATTCATATAAAATAATTTTTTTATCATATTTTTAAATATAACATTATTATTGTTTATAGGAAAAAATAATAAGAAAAATATTGATTTAGTTAGTACAATTTTAATTAAATTTAAATATATCATTTATTGTTTTATAATATAATAATGATCTTATTATACACATTATGTATATATAAACACACTTATATGTATATATATTTTAGAAGAATTATGGCTGTTTCAATCAATGAAATTTGTGAAAATACCAAACTAGCTCGTGAAATGGCTTTAACTGGAAACTATGATACATCTGGAGTTTATTATCAAGGCGTTGTTCAACAAATTCATCGGTTACTTGCAAACATTGCAGATGCTACTCGGAAAGCTAAATGGCAACTTGTTCAACATCAAATTGTTCAAGAATTTGAAAAAGTAAAAGCAACTTCAAATACTTTACAACTTTTTAAAGTTGATACACATGGAGAAAGGTTATTAGGTACTATTATTTATGAAAAATATTTGATAAAAATATGTACACAATATAATAAATATATAAATATTATAAATAAAAATATAAATATAATAAAATAAATTTTTAGGTACTTCATGCTTATCATTTGAAGAACCTACAAGAGATCCAACTTTATGGACTTATAATAATTCAGATAATTCATGGAATCAAACACCTGCAAGGGATCCAGATGTATGGCCACCTTTAACACCTGCTGAACAAAAGTAAAAATTAAATTAGTAATAAAATTACTAATTAATAATAAAATTATCACTTGTATTATATTATATTAATGTTATTAAATTATATTTATAGAAATATTAAACCATTAAAAAATCAATCAAAACAACAAAATAGAACAAGTATACGAAAATCTGTAACTACTGGAAAAAAATCAGATACCAAAGCAATGGTTAAAAAAGATGATAGAAAAGTACAAAAAAAAGATGATGTAAACAAAGTATATTTCATTTTTATTATAGAGTATATAAAAAATGATATATATAAACTATATTTAATTTTTATTATATTTTTACATATAATATAATATTATAAAAAATAAATAATTTTTATAGGAAAAATTGGAAACTGAAAAAATAGATATAGAAGTAGAGGAACGTAAATTTGAGCCATCTGGAAATGATAGAGATTTGGTTGATTTATTAGGTATACTATATATTAGTAATATATTTTATTATATATATTAGTAACTTTAAAATAAATAAATTATTATATATTTATATAAATATTACAGAAAGAGATATTGTTCAAAAAAATCCAAATATTCATTGGGATGATATAGCTGATTTACATGAAGCAAAACGATTATTAGAAGAAGCTGTTGTTCTTCCAATGTGGATGCCAGATTTCTTTAAAGTATATTTAATAATTTTGCATATATTACGTTTCATATAATAAAATATGGATCGTTTTTTCAGGGAATTCGTCGCCCTTGGAAAGGAGTACTTATGGTTGGTCCACCAGGAACTGGAAAAACAATGTTAGCAAAAGCTGTAGCTACTGAATGTGGAACAACTTTTTTTAATGTATCATCTTCTACACTTACTTCAAAATATAGGGGAGAATCAGAAAAACTTGTTCGTCTCCTTTTTGAAATGGTATTTATATGCTTTTTATTTTTTTTTTTCAAAAAATAAATTTAAAATTATTTTTTACTAATTTTTAATGATTATGAATATTTATGCAGGCTAGATTTTATGCTCCTAGTACTATCTTCATTGATGAAATTGATTCTTTATGCTCTAGAAGAGGATCTGAATCTGAACATGAAGCTTCACGACGAGTAAAATCTGAACTTTTAGTTCAAATGGATGGTATAAGTTCCAATAGGTAAAATAATTATATAAAATTAACTGTAATTTAATATAAATATTCTATAAAATAAAAAATAATATATAGTATATTTACTATACTTTATTTTATAGAAGTCTATAAAATAAATAAAATAAATTTTTTTTAGTGAAGATCCAAGTAAAGTGGTAATGGTATTAGCAGCTACAAATTTTCCATGGGACATTGATGAAGCTCTTCGAAGACGATTGGAAAAACGTATTTATATTCCGCTACCAAATCGTAAGTTTTATTAAAATTTAATAGAAGTAATTTCTGTGATATACATTTCAATTTCCTAAAAAAGAAAAATTGGAGTACACAGGTGAAGGTAGAGAAGCATTATTGAAAATTAATCTACGTGAAGTAAAGGTAGATTTATCTGTAAATTTAGCAGATATTGCGAAAAAATTAGAAGGATATTCTGGTGCAGATATTACAAATGTTTGCAGGTAAACAAATATTAAAAATATATTTATACAATTTTATATATATAATATACAAGTATATTTTATACATATTTAAATATAGAGATGCATCTATGATGTCTATGCGGAAAAAAATTGCGGGCTTAAAACCTGATCAAATCAGACAATTACCAAAAGAAGAATTAGATTTACCTGTATCTGCTGCAGATTTTGATGAAGCTGTTGAAAGATGTAACAAGAGCGTTTCTCAAGAAGATTTAGAAAAATATGAAAAATGGATGAGTGAATTTGGTTCTTCTTGATATCATTCTACTCAAAAAATATAAATTCAAATTCAAAGAGCTTATTCAAAAATATAATTGCTTATTTAGATAGATATTGTTAAAATTTTTTGTTTGTCATTATTGACAAACAAAATATAATAAGCATTTTTAAAAATATATTTATCAATATAATAATTATCGAATTTTTAAAATATTCTTCTTCTTATATTATTATAAAGAGCTTATATTTTTCTTACTTTTTAAGTTTAAAGAGTAATACAAATTCATATTGTTTTAAAAAATTAAAATTTCTATTAAAATTACATAATATATTATATATAAACAAAAATTGCATAAATTAAATGACATTATAAAAATATTATATATATAAAACAAAATAATTCAACTTCATGTTATTATTAATTTACATCATGTTATTATTAATTTAATTATAAAATTAAATTGAAGAATAATATTTTTATGATTCATAGATTTTAATTTATTAAGTTAATCGTTATTTGAAGTTTATTAAGTTAATCGTTATTTGAAGTTTATTTTTATTTAAATAATGCTCTTTTATAATTAATTTAAATATTTTGAAATGAAGACATTGTAAAAAATAAGTTTTAAAATTTTCAATATATATTTAATTTTAAACTTACTTAAAGAAATACAAGATATTCGAAATTAATTTTGTACTACATTACATTAATTTTAGGTTAAAATGTAAATTGTTGTTTTTAATAGTGTGTTATATTTTAATAAAAATTACAATTTTTTGTTAAAAATTAAATATTTTTGTAAAAATATAATATACAATTATATATAATATTATAAACAAATTTAATTCATACTAAAAATAATAGCGTATTATCAATAACTATTTTTACTAAATTTTTTGGGAGCACAACCTTCTTTTCTTAATTTTTTAGTTTCTTCATCAATATTTTTTGAATCTTTTGGTGCTTTATAATTTGATACATGGTCAACTCTTATTGTTCTGCCTAAAATCTAAAATTATATAATTATTATTATTATTATTACATATTATTATTATAATTGTTTTAAGTATTTCATCTTTCATTATTATTAAAGAATTTAATACAAAAATAAATATTTCAAAAATATTTTTACCTTAGTACCGTTAAAATTATCAACAGCTAATATCGTACTTCTTTGATCTTCATAGCATAAAAATCCATATCCTTTTTGCTTTCCTGTATCTTTATCTCTAATTAAATTTATATTTACAACTTCTCCAAATCTATAATGATAAACTTATTATTAAATAACTTATTAAATATATTATTTAATAATATTATTATATATATATAAATAATAATTAATATTTATTAAATAAATATTTATCAATTATTTTGAATTTTATACTTACTGAGAAAATACTGTTATTACATCACCTTCTGTTAAATCATATGGTAATCCACCAATAAAGATCCAAGCACTATTTTTATATTGATCATGCCAAGATGTTTTTCTATCGCCTACTAATTCTTGTTCTCCAAGTTTCTGTATATTTTTTACGTTTCTAAACATATATGATTATAATTAAATAAATAATAAATTAAAAAATTAGATTTATATTTACAAATAAATATTTATAAAAATACTCACGTTAAAGGATTCATTTTATATATACTAAAAAAAAAATAATATATTGAAAAAATTATTGATATATTTTTTAAATTTTATACGATATTATATTATTTATACAAATATATAGTTACATAATATACATATACATTTATAATAAAATTTAATTCATTTCTATATTTAATACTTGTTAATGATACAATTATATAAAAAAAAACTATTTTAATTATTTATATATATATATATATATATATTTATAAGTTATTAAAAAATAATATTATTATAGTTACACTGAACATAAGTGCAAGTGATGTTTTGGAATATAACCTCAAAAATAACTGAAATCAACATGAATAATTTTATTTAAATATAAATAAGAGAAAAATAAATAATAAAAGTATTATTATATTAATAGAAGAAATTGAGAAAAAAACTGAATTACTTAAAAATTAAAATTAAGTAATTATTAATATATTCTTCATATAACATCTTAGTTTATTAATGTAATTATATTAGACAATATTTAATGTCGTAACAGCTTTTTTTTTATAATGATTTATATAAAAAGTAAAATGATTACATTAATGATTATAATTAATATATATATTTCTACATGTATTGTATAATATATTTTTAAACAAATATAAATTGCTTTTTATTTAATAAAAAAAAAGCAATATGGTATTAACAACAAGAATGTCACATAAAGTGAATAGAATTTCTTATTATTATCATAATGTTTTTATAATATTTTTGTTAATGTTTACATTATTTATAATATTAATTATGACATATCATATTTTTAAATTTGGGAGTACACAAAAACGTTCTGTATATAATCCCATTATCCTTAATGATTTACATTCATTACCTGTACAAATAATAGATGCAGATTTTGCAATGGCAGATACCACAAATAGTTCTTGTACATACTTCAGTTGTTTTAATGTTTATCGTTGTGGCAGTCAAGGAAATAAGCTTTTAGTATATGTTTATCCACCAAAATTATATGTAGATTCATTAGAAAGATCTATAACAAGTCATATAACAAAAGAGTTTTATCAAATTTTAAATACAATTATTTCAAGTAAATTTTACACACCAAATCCATATGAAGCATGTATTTTCATTCCTTCAATTGATACATTAAATCAAAATAGATTAAAATTACAAGAAGTTTCACAAGCTCTGAAATCATTACCATTGTAAGTTTCTTTTTGTTTTATATATTTATATAAAATATAAATATAATATTGAAAAAATTAAGTATAATTTCATTATATGAAATTTATTCAAATTTCAGTTGGAATAATGGAGAAAATCATTTAATATTTAATATGATACCTGGAACTGTACCTGATTATAACACAGTTATTGATGTACCTGTTGGAAAAGCAATGATTGCAGGTGCAGGAATGTCTTCATTAACATATAGATCTGGTTTTGATATCAGTTTACCAGTATATAGTCCTCTTGTAAATAGTCTTAAATCAAATTTTAATAATTCAAGGTAATAAACTTTATAATCTTTTAATTATTCATAATAATAAATATTTATATATTCTAGACCATGGTTAATCATATCATCTCAAATGAACATTAATTCTGCTTCTGAACAAGATTTGTTAGAAATTAAATCTATATCACCAAAAGATATTTTTATATTAGGTACATGTTTTCACTATAATTCTATGAATAACACAATTCGATGTGCAGGAGAAGATGTTTATAAGTATCCTGATGTGCTTCAAGTATGTAATATATTGTAATAATCATCATAATTAAAACAAATAAAATTTTGTATTATATTAAAATTAATATTGTTAGACAGCAACATTCTGTTTAGTAATACGAGGTGCAAGACTTGGTCAAACTACACTTTTAGAATGCATGGCAGCAGGTTCTATACCTGTAATTATAGCTGATTCTTTGACAATGCCTTTTCATGGTATAATTGATTGGACTAGGTATTATATATTATAATAATTAATTAATTATATATTAGCTCTTTTATTATTATATAATAAATATATTTTATGTGTAGAGCTGTTATATTTATACGAGAAGTAGATATTTTATCATTAATATCAGTTTTAAAAAAAATATCTCAAGAACGAATTATAGAACTTCAACAACAGGGTGCATGGCTTTATGAAAAATACTTTAAATCTATGGAAAAAATAATAGAAACCACATTGGAATTACTTGCAGATCGTGTATTTCCACACTTAAGTAGAGATTATACATTTTGGAATATACCAATTCACAAGGAAAGTCAAAATTATATTAATTATATAACAATTATCAATAAATTAAATTAATTATTATTTTATTTATAAATATAGGATATTACATCTCCATTGTTTTTACCTATTACTGTGCCAAAAACTCGAGGATTTACTGCTGTAATTTTAACATATGACAGATTGGAATTGCTATTTCTATTAATTAATAAACTTGTTAAAGTACCAAGTTTATCTAAAGTTCTAGTTATATGGAATAATCAACAAAAAGATCCTCCACATCGTAAATTTTAATTTTCCATATTAATATTTTAATATTATAATGTTTAATTTAGTTTATGTTAATATTATTTAAATTAAATTTTTTTTATATATTATAGCATCTAGATGGCCAAAGTTGAGTAAACCATTAAAAGTTATACAAACAAAAGAAAATAAATTATCTAATAGATTTTATCCTTATGATGAAATTGAAACTGAAGCAGTCTTATCAATAGATGATGATATTATTATGTTAACCGCTGACGAAGTAGAATTTGCTTATGAGGTTTGTTTATTATAATTTAAACGATATTAATAATAATAATAGTAATATTAATAATAATAATAACAACAATAATAAATAATCATTAGATATGGAGAGAATTTCCAGATCGAATAGTTGGTTTTCCATCTAGAATTCATATGTGGGACAATGGAACAAATTGTTGGAAATATGAAAGTGAATGGACTAACAGTATTTCTATGGTTTTAACTGGAGCTGCATTCCATCATAAAGTAATATAATATTATTGTATAATATCTTATTATTATGTAAACAGATTTAGATTCCAACAAACTTTTATTTCAGACATCAAAAATATAATTTTTTAAATTTTGTTATTCCTTCCTGAAAAATAATATTTTTAATATTTCCATTATAAATTTCCTTATGATCCCGGATATTCCTGAACAAGTTCCTGAAAAAATTAGGTATAATGTTTTATTTATAATTTAATATATAATGTTTTTTTTCATTATATAATTATTAATATATTTCAGTATTGGAATTATATGTATACTACTGCTATGCCTGGTGATATAAAAGAATGGGTTGATGAACATATGAATTGTGAAGATATAGCTATGAATTTTTTAGTAGCAAATATTACAGGAAAAGCACCTATAAAAGTAAGTTTATTATATTTTTTTTTTAATTTGAGATATATATATAATATATATAAAATATTTAATATTATGATATAGGTAACACCAAAAAAAAAATTTCGATGTCCAGAATGCACAAATACCGAAATGTTGTCAGCAGATTTAACTCATATGGTAGAACGTACTCAATGTATAAATAGATTCTCTTTAATTTATGGATCAATGCCATTACAATCAGTTGAATTTCGTGCAGATCCAGTTTTATTTAAAGATATATTTCCCGAAAAACTTAAAAGATTTAATGATATTGGAAGTTTATAATATATTTATTCAAAATATAATAATAAAAAAGCTTTTTGTTGTAATATTATATAGATATTAAAATATTACGTAATGTAGATTAAAAAATATAAAATTAGTATGAAATAAATTATCTATTAAAATATAGTTGAATTATATCATATTAATAATAGATACATATTTATTTTATTAACAAGTACATATTTACTTTTTATTTTATTAAATTTAAATAAAATTTAATAAAACATCGATTTTTTTTATAAAAAGAATAAATAATTTTATATTTATAAAATCTTATATTTTTTAATTATTTCAAAATTTCAAGATCATTATTATATTTTTATTTATTTATTTTTTTTAATTAAGTTCAATGATACAATATAATATAATACAAATATAATACAATATATAATACAATGTATGATATATATATATTGTTTTGATTTTTATAAAAATGGATGAAGCTTATAACATCGAAGATATTTTATTATATTTTTTTTTTAATACTTTTTTATATCATAATTATAAAGATATGTATTTAAATTAATTAAAAATAAATAATTATTTTAAGTAGTTTCTTATATAGTAATATGATATAATAATATTGTCTCGCACAAATCATAAATTCATTAATATACTATGTGATTTTAAAACAAATTCCTTCAACAATTGCTTTCTTACCAACTTCATGAGATGGAAGAACAGCCATATGACTCTAAAAAGAATATAAATATATTATTTATATTTATTTTCATTTTGAGAAATGAATAATCTTACCATTGGCATTTGTTCATTTGAATTCATGTAACCTATTATCATTGAATTTGTAGAATGACTCCAAAGGAAATCTCCTAATCCTTCTTGTGGTGCATATCGTATAGCAATAACACCTCCAAGTTTCTGTTCAAGTCCGCACAAAAATTTTGAATCTAAAAAATTTGTATTTCTATAAAAACATTAATTTTTATAAAAATATTTTATCTATAAATCGTAATTTTTTCACTCTAATAAAAGATATTTTTAATATTGAAAAATAATAATAAAGTAGTTACGAGTTTTCACCGATAAAATCAGCTTTCATAGAATGATACAAGTTGGTAATAGGACAAGAACTATGTGATATAGCTTCTGCAACTGTTCGCGCAAGTAAAGTACGAATAAGATGTTCTCCACAGCCTGATGTGCTGGTTCCTATAGAATATTTATCTTTATATGCCCATGTACCACATCCCCACATTCCTGCCTTAAAATTATAATAATAATTATTTAATTATTTTCAAATAAAACATTTGCATACAATAATATTAAAAAATAATTTATAAATAAATTTGTAAAATATACCTGTCCCACTCTTCCAGGATATTTTAAAATAATACCACCACTAGAACAAGCTCCAGCAATATTTCCTTCTTTATCAACACATATTGCTCCAACTGTATCCATTCTTTGCTTGGTATACTATATTATTCAATTAATTTAAAATTTTATTTAAAAAAGTGTAATATAATGATAAAATAAAAAAAATAAAATATTAAAAATTATTTACCTTTTGAACATCTGCATTAGAGTTTTCTATTTTTCTTTTATAATGTTTATACATTTTCTGTGCTTTTGCTACAAATATAATAAAATATTATTATTTAATTAAATTTATATATAATAAAATATTATCAAAATCATATGTATAATAATTATAATCATATGTATAATAATTATAATAATATGTATAATAATTAAAATCATGTATAGTTTATTATTATTAGTTTATTATTAATTAATTTCTAAATATATATGAAAAATAAAAAAGAAAAAAGTTTTTAAGATTAATATAATAATAAATTTTTTATTAAATATAATTAGATATTAAATTATTAAATAAAACGAATAATAAAATAAAAGATTAAATTTTACATACTTGAAATTAATTGTTCTGGAGGTAAAGTTTGAATTCTCATTTCTTGTGCCCATATATGTGCACCATTCCCAACTAAAAAGCTGCATTATATTTATTTATTTTTATAAATGAATAATAAAAAAAATATTATTTTAAATCTTTAAAATATTAATTTTTAATAATTATACCTTGGCGGAATTCTACCATATGCAATCTTAACTGATTGATGTTCACAAAGTCGTTTTGCCAATAAAACAGGATTTTTTATTCCACTAACTGCACCAACAGCTCCAAATTGCAATGTAGTACCATCCATAACGCTTGCATCGCATTCTACAGTTCCTTCTAATGTAAGATTAGAACCAAATCCAGCATTAGTTAATGGAGAATTTTCTAATACTATTACAGTTTCTACTACAGCATCTAATGAACTACCACCAGTTTTTAAATTCTGTATTCCCTTTAAAAATATTATTGGATTATATTATGATATATTAAAATATTATAAATAAAAAATTTAAAATAACTTACAGCTTTGCATGCTTGACGACATAATTTTTGATATTTTTCTTTAAGAGTTTCAGAATGTCGTCCTGCCCCTAATAAAACATATTAATATAACACTCAATATAAACATATAAATTAATTAAAATATTAATTTATTTTGTTTTTTTACAATTATGCTTAAATATATGTTTCCAAAATTAATAACATACCTACATGAACAGCAATAAATCCATGATTAATATTACTCATTATAATATTACTATTAAGTTTTCAATGTTACTAAATGTTTATATTTTTGATTTCTGACCATCACATTTTTGCATTTATTTTATATCATTTATATTTTGCAAATATTTCTAAATAAAATTATATATATAAATATCTATTTATTTAATTTATATTTATAATTTATATTTAAATAAGATACAAAAATTTGTAGATTTTTATTATATTGTAATCACATCATCTATAAAATATGTATAAAATTACACGCATGCGTTATTACATACTTAGACCTATAGCTATATATAATATTATGATACAAATTTTTACGAATATATATTTTTATAATTTAATTATTTTAAAATATTATGGAAATATGTATTTAAAAACATCGTTTAAAAAATCTAAATAACTTAAATCAAATTTTTGAATTTTTCTAATACAATAAATTATATTAGATATATAAATGAAACTACGTAATTAAAATTTAAATGAAATATTCAATTATAAATTGTTGACATGTATTAATATATATATTAGCCGAAAATATCACATCTATATTGAAAAAATCATAAAGTAAATCTTATTTACTTTTTTTTTTTAAATAAATTTATTTAAAATACTTATATAGTTTAAGCAAATATATAAATAAAATATATTAATACAAAAAATAAAAATTAAGAATTAAGATAAATATAAATAAGTTACTATACATTATTTACATTATTGCATTAAATTATTTAATTTATCATTAATAAAATGTTAGAAACAAATATTTCATAAAATCGCGGGAATCTGAAACTAGTAACTTATAATCACTTGATTATCTATATCATGATGAGATTTAAACATTATTGGATTTACTCAATAACGGCTTTTGTCTTTAATAAGTAATAGATTGTACAAGTCAATGTGTATTAAGTCAAATTCACACGATAAAGGGATAAAATAAAACAATTTAAATATAGAGTTTTTTCTGATTGTCCAGTTTTCGCCATCTGGTGAAAATGAATGTCGGATGATTAAAACTCATATAGTTATTGAAACTGACGCTAAAGGGCGTAAATTTTTGCATAAAATACGCGGGAGTTGTCTATCCATAGTTCGTATTAATACCAATGGAATTGAACATACAGATTTATTACTTGCTATGTTTAAATTTATATGTGAAGTACGTAACATGTAACAATTTTTTATGTTCCCATGAAATACTACAAAATTTAAAATACCGGTTATTAACATAAAATATCAATTTTTGCAGTATTAAATCAAATGAAGGCTTTTTATATTAGGTACATTTATATTTTCAAATTTATATGTAATCATACTTATCATTTTTAATGAATGATTTATATTTATTTTTATATTTATTTATTTTGATTAGGATGCCTCAATTAACATAAGGATTATTTTAGGTTACTTGAATTAACAACATAGTAGCCATCTATTTCAACTTTATATATACTTACATATAAATACATATATATACATATATATATATATATATTGTAAGTACCACATTTAAAATTTTTTTTTTGATGATGTTAGATATTTATATATTAAATTATGTTATTTTATTATAAGTAATTAAAGTGATAAAAATCTGATGAAATTTTCAGGATTAAGTGACAGATAATAAAAGGCATATAATTTATAATATATTGAATGGCCATATTAATAAAAAACATTTGGACTTTGTGCTACAAGCAATTGTTTTCTTACAACAATCATGTTGTTGTTCGACTTTTTAAAAAAATTTTTTGGGTGGGTAGATGAAGCACCTAGGAAACGTAGAGCAGTTTCATTTAGTTTGGAAAAAGAATTTGTTACTCCAAAAAAACATCGTTGTGATTATAAAACTATTAACGTGGAGGAAGAACCTATTGAAATTAAAGATGATAGTGATGAGGATGAAGTTCAAGTTATTACTAAACATAAATATCCTTCCATTAAGGCTTCTAATAAATTAAATGGTACATGTAATAATAGTAGAGAAAAATCACTTACTTGTTGTTCTTCATCTTTTTCATCATCAAAATCTCAACCATGTTATGACAAAGTAAATATAGGATGTTCTAGTAATAAAAGTGGAAGAATACAAAATATTGAATCACATCAACAATGTTCAACATTGATTAAAACTCATCGCTTAAGAGAAAAAAATCAGTATGAAGAATTATTACAAAATTTTCTCCCACGTAGGATACATGTCATATGTGATAAAAATGATGATAAAAGATCTACACAAGAACCAATAGAAGTAATAGATTTAGAAAGATCTAGTTCTTCAACTCCTTTTTCCAAAATTCAGTCAGCTTCTAGAAAAAATGATAGAATGTTACAAATGCATTGGAGTACTCCAATTAAAGAAAAAAAAGATACAGAAATAATTAATTTAGATAATGATGAAAAAGAAGAGCTAATACATTCCATTCATAATAAAACATTGTCTCATAGAAAAAATGTTATTGAAAAAGAAAAATTTTCACAAAATAAATATACTGAATGTATAACTACAAACACATTAAGAGATCAATTAGCAGCAAAAGCTGTAATGAGGGAAGATTTTATTCCTCAAGTAGCAAAACGTTATAATGAACGTATTGAACAACGTTATAAAGAAGCAGAAAAACTTAAAAAAATGACATGTGTATTATCTAAACATAATCGTTTAGCAAGAGAAGCTGCTTTAGAAGAACATTTAGCCCGCTCTATGAGGTTATGTGAAGCTGTTTTAGAAGAAAAAGAAGATTTAGAAGAGCCAGAATTGCCTACTTTAACAGAGGAAATGCTGCAAGAAATAAAAAATGCTCTTATCTCTAGGCCACCAGATGAAGTCCTTGTTGAAGGATTTGGTCTAAGAATTACAAGAAAAGATATTCATACATTAGCTGATTTAAATTGGTTAAATGACGAAGTAATAAATTTTTATATGAATTTACTAATAGCCAGAAGTACCACTAATGACAAGTATCCAAAAGTACATGCTATGAATACATTTTTTTATCCAAAATTAATCTCAGGTGGACATTCATCACTAAAAAGATGGACTAGAAAAATTGATATTTTTGCACAAGATCTTATAGTTGTTCCTATACATTTAGGTATTCATTGGTGTATGTCAATAATTGACTTTAGAGATAAGTCTATTCGTTATTATGACAGTATGGGTGGCAACAATTCAAAATGTCTATCAGCACTACGACAATATTTGGAAGATGAAAGTTTGGACAAAAAGAAACAAAACTATGATACTAGTAACTGGAAGTTAGAGTGTGCCAAAAGTATCCCACAACAAATGAATGGAAGTGATTGTGGTGTTTTCTCTTGTATGTTTGCTGAATATATTTGTGCAAATAAAAAAATCACATTTACACAGCAAGATATGCCATATTTTCGAAATAAGATGGTTTATGAAATATTAAAGTCCAAGCTTTTATAAAATAAATATTATTTATTTAGAGAATTATTGACAATGAATAATTTAAATAACTTTCAGCAACTTCCAAAAATTACAAAATATTTTAGCAAAAGTTTATTATTGGATAGAATATTCTGAAAATATAATATTTATACTAAAAAGTATATTATTCATATTATTATCATAGTATTAAAAGAAGTTATACAGTATGATTTCTTTTATATTGTCAGAAGTATAATTTTGTTTAAAAATGGAATGTTGTTAATTTTTTGCAATGTAAAAAAGAACAGTACTTTGTAAACAAAAGTTAAAAAAATGTCATAATAAATAGTATTTCCTCATAATAATATATCATATCTATTTTAATAACAAAATTCATTTCATTATAATATTTGCCTATTGCACATTCTTTATAAAAAATGAAAAATGTAATGTACTATAACACTTTATTTCGAATAAATGTAAAATTTTTAAAATTACTTATGTATGAATATTTTATGTTTAAAACTGTTTATGTAATAAAAAATATGTTTTCTAATTATGGTTTTATTTCGCAAACATTTTAGATCGATATTACATTAAAACAATGTCAATCTTTATTATATTATAATAATATAATTATATATTAATTATAATATATTATATATATTAATCTATCAAAATATAATAGAATATATAAAATTATTACTTATATTATTTATTATATTACTTATATATAATATATATTATAGAAAAGGGTGGTAATGTAGAATTTGTTTTTTATTATTTTTCGAAAAATAATGTATTAAATCATTTAAATTTAGCTTTAATTTTAATATAATACATTTAGCTTAATCTTTATAGATTTTTCTTTTATATTAAAAATTTTAAATAAAGAAATTAATTTAATTAGAAAATTTTATCTTTATTTGAAAAAATAGAGTTTTGTAGATAATATGGATTATCTAATTATCTTAAGTGGAGATTTTTATTGATGTAGATATATTGATTATAATATTTAATAAATTTAATAAATTTAATATTATTATCATTATTATTATTATTATATATATTTATAATATATATTATATATATAATATATATATTAATTTATATTTTTATTTTTATATATAATTTAATTATTTATAAAAATTAAATTTTTTTTTATAAAATTATACTTTTCGAAATATGTGTAAATATATATACATATGTAAAAAATGAAAAAAAATAAATTTATTGAAATAAGAATTAATTAAAAATTAAGAATTACGTTTCATTTAATTCTCATATATACTTAATTTCATATTAGCAAAAATAAATTAATATTATAAATTTTTTTATTTTCATAAATTATTAAAAAATTTCATAAAATTTTTTATTATAATAAGTAAATATCAAATTAATTTAAAACATTACAAGAATTATCTACGGATAAAGAAATAACATATAAAAAATTAAGAAAATAGTTGATTTAAACAAAAATGCTCATAACTATTATAAAAAACTAAATATATTTCAAATCATTTACCTCTGATCTTATGTCATTTTTTTTTCTGCTATAAACATATTCTATTGTAAAATCACAGATATATTATAATATTGGTTCTTTTTCAATTTAACCACAGGATTCTACATTACCATCTTTTCTCTACTATAATTTAAATAACCTTATATTACATGCAAGGTTTATGCTTGCAAGTTTGAAAACATTTCCTTCTTTATTATAAGAAATATGAGTGC